CTAGTCACTGTGTGTGTCTCTGTGTCTCCGTGTGTCTCCGTGTGTCTCTGTGTCTCCGTGTCTCCCAGACGTGTATAGACGAGAATGAGTCTCTAGTCACTGTGTATGTCTCTGTGTCTCTGTCTCCGTGTCTCCCAGACGTGTATAGACGAGAATGAGTCTCTAGTCACTGTGTGTGTCTCCGTGTCTCCGTGTCTCTGTGTCTCTGTGTCTCCGTGTGTCTCTGTGTCTCCGTGTCTCCCAGACGTGTATAGACGAGAATGAGTCTCTAGTCACTGTGTATGTCTCTGTGTCTCTGTCTCCGTGTCTCCCAGACGTGTATAGACGAGAATGAGTCTCTAGTCACTGTGTGTGTCTCCGTGTCTCTGTGTCTCTGTGTCTCCGTGTCTCTGTGTCTCCCAGACGTGTATAGACGAGAATGAGTCTCTAGACACTGTGTGTGTCTCCGTGTCTCCGTGTCTCCGTGTCTCCCCAGACGTGTATAGACGAGAATGAGTCTCTAGTCACTGTGTCTCTGTGTCTCCGTGTCTCCCAGACGTGTATAGACGAGAATGAGTCTCTAGTCACTGTGTGTCTCCGTGTCTCTGTGTCTCTGTGTCTCCGTGTCTCTGTCTCTCCCCAGACGTGTATAGACGAGAATGAGTCTCTAGTCACTGTGTGTGTGTCTCCGTGTGTCTCCGTGTCTCCGTGTGTCTCCGTGTCTCTGTGTCTCCCAGACGTGTATAGACGAGAATGAGTCTCTAGTCACTGTGTGTCTCCGTGTCTCCGTGTCTCTGTGTCTCTGTGTCTCCGTGTCTCCGTGTGTCTCCCCAGACGTGTATAGACGAGAATGAGTCTCTAGTCACTGTGTGTGTCTCCGTGTCTCCGTGTCTCTGTCTCCGTGTGTCTCCGTGTCTCCGTGTCTCCCAGACGTGTATAGACGAGAATGAGTCTCTAGTCACTGTGTGTGTCTCCGTGTCTCCGTGTCTCTGTGTCTCCGTGTCTCTGTGTCTCCCAGACGTGTATAGACGAGAATGAGTCTCTAGTCACTGTGTGTGTCTCCGTGTCTCTGTGTCTCTGTGTCTCCGTGTGTGTCTGTGTCTCCGTGTCTCCAGACGTGTATAGACGAGAATGAGTCTCTAGTCACTGTGTGTGTCTCTGTGTCTCTGTGTCTCTGTGTCTCCGTGTCTCTGTGTCTCCGTGTGTCTCCCCAGACGTGTATAGACGAGACTGAGTCTCTAGTCACTGTGTGTGTCTCTGTGTCTCTGTGTCTCCGTGTCTCCCAGACGTGTATAGACGAGAATGAGTCTCTAGACACTGTGTGTGTCTCCGTGTCTCCGTGTGTCTCCCCAGACGTGTATAGACGAGAATGAGTCTCTAGTCACTGTGTGTGTCTCCGTGTCTGCGTGTCTCCGTGTCTCCGTGTCTCCCAGACGTGTATAGACGAGAATGAGTCTCTAGTCACTGTGTGTGTCTCTGTGTCTCCGTGTGTGTCTGTGTCTCCGTGTCTCCAGACGTGTATAGACGAGAATGAGTCTCTAGTCACTGTGTATGTCTCCGTGTGTCTCCGTGTCTCCGTGTGTCTCTGTGTCTCCGTGTCTCCCCAGACGTGTGTAGACGAGAATGAGTCTCTAGTCACTGTGTGTGTGTCTCCGTGTCTCTGTGTCTCTGTGTCTCTGTGTCTCCGTGTCTCCGTGTGTCTCCGTGTCTCCGTGTGTCTCCGTGTCTCCAGACGTGTATAGACGAGAATGAGTCTCTAGTCACTGTGTGTGTCTCTGTGTCTCTGTGTCTCCGTGTGTCTCCGTGTGTCTCCGTGTGTCTCCGTGTCTCCGTGTCTCCCAGACGTGTATAGACGAGAATGAGTCTCTAGTCACTGTGTGTGTCTCCGTGTCTCCGTGTCTCTGTGTCTCCGTGTCTCCAGACGTGTATAGACGAGAATGAGTCTCTAGTCACTGTGTGTGTCTCTGTGTCTCCGTGTCTCCCAGACGTGTATAGACGAGAATGAGTCTCTAGTCACTGTGTGTGTCTCCGTGTCTCCGTGTCTCTGTGTCTCCGTGTCTCTGTGTCTCCGTGTCTCCCCAGACGTGTATAGACGAGAATGAGTCTCTAGTCACTGTGTGTATGTCTCCGTGTCTCTGTGTCTCCGTGTCTCCCCAGACGTGTATAGACGAGAATGAGTCTCTAGTCACCGTGTGTGTCTCTGTGTCTCTGTGTCTCTGTGTCTCCGTGTCTCCCCAGACGTGTATAGACGAGAATGAGTCTCTAGTCACTGTGTGTGTCTCTGTGTCTCTGTGTCTCTGTGTGTCTCCGTGTCTCTGTCTCTCCCCAGACGTGTATAGACGAGAATGAGTCTCTAGTCACTGTGTGTGTCTCCGTGTCTCCGTGTCTCTGTGTCTCTGTGTCTCCGTGTGTCTCCGTGTCTCTGTGTCTCCCAGACGTGTATAGACGAGAATGAGTCTCTAGTCACTGTGTGTGTCTCCGTGTCTCTGTGTCTCTGTGTCTCTGTGTCTCTGTGTGTCTCCGTGTCTCCGTGTCTCCCAGACGTGTATAGACGAGAATGAGTCTCTAGTTACTGTGTGTATGTCTCCGTGTCTCTGTGTCTCTGTGTCTCCGTGTGTCTCTGTGTCTCCGTGTCTCCCCAGACGTGTATAGACGAGAATGAGTCTCTAGTCACTGTGTGTGTCTCCGTGTCTCCGTGTCTCTGTGTCTCCGTGTGTCTCTGTGTCTCCGTGTCTCCCAGACGTGTATAGACGAGGCTGAGTCTCTAGTCACTGTGTGTGTCTCCGTGTCTCCGTGTCTCTGTGTCTCTGTGTCTCCGTGTCTCCGTGTCTCCCAGACGTGTATAGACGAGAATGAGTCTCTAGTCACTGTGTGTGTCTCCGTGTCTCCGTGTCTCCGTGTCTCTGTGTCTCTGTGTGTCTCCAGACGTGTATAGACGAGAATTAGTCTCTAGTCACTGTGTGTGTCTCTGTGTCTCTGTGTCTCTGTGTGTCTCCGTGTCTCCGTGTCTCTGTGTCTCCGTGTGTCTCCGTGTCTCCGTGTCTCCAGACGTGTATAGACGAGAATGAGTCTCTAGTCACTGTGTGTGTCTCCGTGTCTCCGTGTCTCTGTGTCTCCGTGTGTCTCTGTGTCTCCGTGTCTCCCCAGACGTGTATAGACGAGAATGAGTCTCTAGTCACTGTGTGTCTCCGTGTCTCTGTGTCTCCGTGTGTCTCCGTGTCTCCGTGTCTCCCAGACGTGTATAGACGAGAATGAGTCTCTAGTCACTGTGTGTGTCTCTGTGTCTCCGTGTGTCTCCGTGTCTCCGTGTCTCCGTGTGTCTCCGTGTGTCTCCGTGTCTCCCCAGACGTGTATAGACGAGAATGAGTCTCTAGTCACTGTGTGTGTCTCCGTGTCTCCCAGACGTGTATAGACGAGAATGAGTCTCTAGTCACTGTGTGTGTCTCTGTGTCTCTGTGTCTCTGTGTCTCCGTGTCTCCGTGTCTCCAGACGTGTATAGACGAGAATGAGTCTCTAGTCACTGTGTGTGTCTCTGTGTCTCCGTGTCTCCAGACGTGTATAGACGAGAATGAGTCTCTAGTCACTGTGTGTGTCTCCGTGTCTCTGTGTCTCTGTGTCTCCGTGTGTCTCCGTGTCTCCAGACGTGTATAGACGAGAATGAGTCTCTAGTCACTGTGTGTGTCTCCGTGTCTCTGTGTCTCTGTGTCTCCGTGTCTCCGTGTGTCTCCGTGTCTCCCAGACGTGTATAGACGAGAATGAGTCTCTAGTCACTGTGTGTGTCTCCGTGTCTCTGTGTCTCTGTGTCTCCGTGTGTCTCCGTGTCTCCAGACGTGTATAGACGAGAATGAGTCTCTAGTCACTGTGTGTGTCTCCGTGTCTCTGTGTCTCTGTGTCTCCGTGTCTCCGTGTGTCTCCGTGTCTCCGTGTCTCCAGACGTGTATAGACGAGAATGAGTCTCTAGTCACTGTGTGTGTCTCTGTGTCTCTGTGTGTCTCTGTGTCTCCGTGTCTCTGTGTCTCCCAGACGTGTATAGACGAGAATGAGTCTCTAGTCACTGTGTGTGTCTCCGTGTCTCCGTGTCTCTGTGTCTCTGTGTCTCCGTGTGTGTCTGTGTCTCTGTGTCTCCCAGACGTGTATAGACGAGAATGAGTCTCTAGTCACTGTGTGTGTCTCTGTGTGTCTGTGTCTCCGTGTCTCCGTGTGTCTCCGTGTCTCCAGACGTGTATAGACGAGAATGAGTCTCTAGTCACTGTGTGTGTCTCTGTGTCTCCGTGTCTCCGTGTCTCTGTGTCTCTGTGTCTCCGTGTGTGTCTGTGTCTCTGTGTCTCCCAGACGTGTATAGACGAGAATGAGTCTCTAGTCACTGTGTGTGTCTCTGTGTCTCCGTGTCTCCAGACGTGTATAGACGAGAATGAGTCTCTAGTCACTGTGTGTGTCTCTGTGTCTCCGTGTCTCCAGACGTGTATAGACGAGAATGAGTCTCTAGTCACTGTGTGTGTGTCTCCGTGTCTCTGTGTCTCCCAGACGTGTATAGACGAGAATGAGTCTCTAGTCACTGTGTGTGTCTCTGTGTCTCTGTGTCTCCGTGTGTGTCTGTGTCTCTGTGTCTCCCAGACGTGTATAGACGAGAATGAGTCTCTAGTCACTGTGTGTGTCTCTGTGTCTCCGTGTCTCCAGACGTGTATAGACGAGAATGAGTCTCTAGTCACTGTGTGTGTCTCTGTGTCTCCGTGTCTCCAGACGTGTATAGACGAGAATGAGTCTCTAGTCACTGTGTGTGTCTCTGTGTCTCCGTGTCTCCAGACGTGTATAGACGAGAATGAGTCTCTAGTCACTGTGTGTGTCTCTGTGTCTCCGTGTCTCCAGACGTGTATAGACGAGAATGAGTCTCTAGTCACTGTGTGTGTGTCTCCGTGTCTCTGTGTCTCCCAGACGTGTATAGACGAGAATGAGTCTCTAGTCACTGTGTGTGTCTCTGTGTCTCTGTGTGTCTCTGTGTCTCCGTGTCTCCGTGTCTCCAGACGTGTATAGACGAGAATGAGTCCATGGTTTCTCTACTGCTGGATAGCGGCGCCGATGTCAACCTGGCCGACAATGAGGGCTGGACGGCGTTGCACATCGCTGCTTCCTGCGGCAGCCTGCCCATCGCACAGTGAGACACCAACCCCATCAACATCACCAACATCAACATCATCATCAACATCAACATCATCATCAACATCACCAACATCATCATCAACATCAACCCCATCAACATCACCAACATCAACATCATCATCATCAACATCAACATCATCATCAACATCATCAACATCATCATCATCAACACCATCAACATCATCAACATCACCAACATCATCAACATCACCAACATCAACATCATCATCAACATCAACATCACCAACATCATCATCATCATCAACATCAACATCATCAACATCAACACCACCAACATCACCAACATCAACATCATCATCATCAACATCACCAACATCAACATCATCATCAACATCAACATCAACCCCATCAACACCATCAACATCAACATCACCATCATCAACATCAACCCCATCACCACCAACATCATCAACATCACCAACACCATCAACATCATCATCAACATCAACATCATCAACATCATCATCATCATCAACATCAACGTCATCAACATCACCAACATCATCATCATCAACATCATCATCATCAACATCAACCCCATCAACATCAACACCATCAACATCACCAACATCAACATCACCATCAACATCAACATCAACACCATCATCATCATCAACACCATCAACATCATCAACATCACCAACATCATCATCAACATCAACATCACCAACATCATCATCAACATCAACATCACCAACATCACCAACATCATCACCACCATCAACACCACCAACATCATCAACATCAACATCATCAACATCACCACCATCAACGTCATCATCATCATCATCAACACCATCAACATCATCAACATCACCACCATCAACATCATCAACATCATCAACATCACCACCATCATCAACATCATCAACATCATCAACATCATCAACATCACCGCCATCAACATCATCAACATCATCATCATCATCAACACCATCAACATCATCAACACCATCAACATCAACATCATCAACATCATCATCATCAACATCATCAACACCATCAACATCATCAACATCATCAACATCAACATCACCACCACCATCAACATCATCAACATCAACATCACCACCACCATCAACCCCATCAACATCAACCCCATCAACATCATCAACATCATCACCACCATCAACAACATCAACATCATCAACCCCATCAACATCATCAACATCATCAACATCATCAACACAATCAAGATCATCATCATCAACATCATCAACATCATCATCATCATCAACCCCATCAACATCATCAACATCAACCCCATCAACATCATCAACATCATCATCATCATCAACCCCATCAACATCATCAACATCATCAACATCAACCCCATCAACATCATCAACATCATCATCATCATCATCAACCCCATCAACATCATCAACCCCATCAACATCATCAACATCATCAACATCAACCCCATCAACATCATCAACATCATCATCATCAACACCATCAACATCATCAACACCATCAACATCATCAACATCATCAACATCAACACCATCAACATCAACAACACCATCAACATCATCAACACCATCAACATCATCAACATCACCACCATCACCACCATCACCACCATCAACATCATCAACATCATCAACATCACCACCATCAACATCACCAACATCAACATCATCAACATCAACATCATCACCACCATCACCAACATCATCAACATCATCACCACCATCAACACCATCAACATCATCACCATCATCAACATCATCAACATCACCAACATCATCAACATCATCAACATCACCGCCATCAACATCATCAACATCAACATCATCAACATCATCAACATCAACATCATCAACATCATCAACATCATCACCACCATCAACACCATCATCAACATCATCAACATCAACATCATCAACATCATCACCACCATCAACATCATCATCAACATCATCAACATCATCACCACCATCAACACCATCAACATCATCATCATCAACATCATCAACATCAACAACATCATCAACATCATCAACATCACCATCATCAACATCATCAACATCATCAACATCACCACCATCAACATCATCAACATCATCAACATCACCAACATCATCAACATCATCAACATCACCGCCATCAACATCATCAACATCATCATCATCACCATCATCAACATCATAAACATCACCACCATCAACATCATCAACATCATCAACATCATCAACACCACCAACATCATCAACATCACCACCATCGACATCATCAACATCATCACCGCCATCAACATCATCAACATCATCACCATCATCAACATCATCAACATCACCACCATCAACACCATCAACACCATCAACATCATCACCACCATCAACACCATCAACATCATCACCATCATCAACATCATCACCATCACCAACATCATCAACATCATCAACATCACCGCCATCAACATCATCAACATCATCACCACCATCAACATCATCAACATCATCAACATCACCACCATCAACACCATCAACATCACCACCATCAACATCTTCAACATCATCAACATCACCACCTTCAACATCATCAACATCACCGCCATCAACACCATCAACATCATCAACATCATCACCGCCACCATCAACACCATCAACATCATCATCATCACCACCATCAACGTCACCATCAACATCACCACCATCAACATCATCAACATCATCAACATCACCAACATCATCAACATCACCACCATCAACATCATCAACATCACCACCATCATCAACATCACCACCACCACCATCAACATCATAAACATCATCAACATCACCACCATCATCAACATCACCACCATCAACATCACCACCATCAACATCACCACCACCAACATCACCACCATCAACATAATCAACATCATCAATATCACCACAATCAACATCATCAACATTATCAACATCACCAACATCATCCACATCACCACCATCAACATCACCACCACCACCATCAACATCATAAACATCATCAACATCAACATCACCACCAACGTCACCATCAACATCACCACCATCAACATCACCACGATCAACATCACCACCATCAACATCACCACCATCAACATCATCATCAACATCACCACCACCATCAACATCACCACCACCATCAACATCACCACCATCAACATCACCACCATCAACATCATCATCAACATCACCACCATCAATATCACCACCATCAACATCACCACCATCAACATCACCACCATCAACATCACCACCATCAACATCATCATCAACATCACCACCACTATCAACATCACCACCATCAACATCATCAACATCACCATCAACATCACCATCAACATCATCACCACCATCATCAACATCATCAACATCACCACCACCATCACCACCATCAACATCATCAACATCACCTTTACCACCACCATCACTACCACCATCACCACCATCAACATCATCACCATCATCACCACCACCATCAACATCATCATCACCACCACCATCACCACCTTTACCACCACCATCACTACCACCATCACCACCATCAACATCATCAACATCACTGCCACCATCACCACCATCACCGCCATCATCACCAACACCATCACCACCACCATCACCACCACCACCACCATAAACATCATCAACATCACCATCACCACCGTGATCACTAACATCACCACCGTAATCACCAACATCATCACCATCAACATCACCGCCATCAACATCACAACCATATTTCATACTTTGGGTCTATGTTTACTATCATATTGTATACTATGTGTCTATGAGTGCTATCATATTGTATACTATGTGTCTATGCGTGCTATCATATTGTATACTATGTATCTAAGTGTGCTATCATATTGTATACTATGTGTCTATGCGTGCTATCATATTGTATACTATGTGTCTATGCGTGCTATGATATTGTGTACTATGTGTCTATCTGTGCTATCATATTGTATACTATGTGTCTATGTGTGCTATCATTGTATACTGTGTCTATCTGTGCTATCATATTGTATACTATGTGTCTGTGTGCTATGATATTGTGTACTATGTGTCTATGTGTGCTATCATATTGTATACTACGTGTTTATGCGTGCTATCATATTGTATTCTATGTGTCTGTGCGCTATCATATTGTATACTATGTGTCTATGCGTGCTATCATATTGTATACTATGTCTATGCGCGCTATGATATTATGTACTATGTGTCTATCTGTGCTATCATATTGTATACTATGTGTCTATGCGTGCTATCATATTGTATACTATGTGTCTATGCGCGCTATGATATTGTGTACTATGTGTCTATCTGTGCTATCATATTGTATACTATGTGTCTATGCGCGCTATGATATTGTGTACTATGTGTCTATCTGTGCTATCATATTGTATACTATGTGTCTATGTGTGCTATCATTGTATACTATGTGTCTATGTGCACTATCATATTGTATTCTATGTGTCTATGCGTGCTATCATATAGTTTACTGTGTCTGTGTGCTATCATATTGTATTCTATGTGTCTATGTGCGCTATCGTATTGTATACTATGTGTCTATCTGTGCTATCATATTGTATACTATGTGTCTGTGTGCTATAATATTGTATTCTATGTGTCTATGTGCGCTATCGTATTGTATACTATGTGTCTATCTGTGCTATCATATTGTATGCTATGTGTCTATGCGCGCTATCATATTGTATACTATGTATCTATGCGTGCTATCATATCGTATACTATGTGTCTATGCGTGCTATCATATTGTATACAATGTGTCTATGCGTGCTATGATATTGTATTCTATGTGTCTATGTGTGCTATCATTGTATACTATGTGTCTATGTTTACTATCATATTGTATACTATGTTTCTATGTGTGCTATCATATTGTATTCTATGTGTCTATGTGTGCTATCATATTGTATGCTACGTGTCTGTTTGCTATGATATTGTATACTACGTGTCTATGTGCGCTATCATATTGTATACTATGTGTCTATGAGTGCTATGATATTGTATACTATGTGTCTATGAGTGCTATGATATTGTATACTATGTGTCTATGAGTGCTATGATATTGTATACTATGTGTCTATGCGTGCTATCATATTGTATACTATGTGTCTATGTGCGCTATCATATTGTATACCATGTATCTATGTGCACTATGATATAGTATACTACGTGTCTATGCGTGCTAATATATAGTATACTACGTGTCTATGCGTGCTATGATATAGTATAATACGTGTCTATGTGCACTATGATATTGTATACTACGTGTCTGCGTGCTATGATATTGTATACTATCTGTCTATGTGCGCTATCATATTGTATACTATGTATCTATGCGCGCTATCATATTGTGTACTGTGTCTATGCGCGCTATGATATTGTGTACTATGTGTCTATGCGTGCTATCATATTGTATACTATGTATCTATGCGCGCTATCATATTGTATACTGTGTCTATGCGCGCTATCATATTGTATACTGTGTCTATGCGCGCTATGATATTGTGTACTATGTGTCTATGCGTGCTATCATATTGTATACTATGTGTCTATGCGTGCTATCGTATTGTATACTATGTGTCTATGCGTGCTATGATATTGTATACTATGTGTCTATGTTTACTATCATATTGTATACTATGTGTCTATGCGTGCTGTCATATTGTATACTATGTGTCTATGTGCGCTATCATATTGTATACTATGTATCTATGTGCACTATGATATAGTATACTACGTGTCTGCGTGCTATGATATTGTGTACTATCTGTCTATGTGCGCTATCAAATTGTATACTGTGTCTATGCGTGCTATGATATTGTATACTATGTGTCTATGCGTGCTATGATATTGTGTAATATGTGTCTATGCGTGCTATCATATTGTATACTACGTGTCAATGCGTGCTATCATATTGTATACTATGTATCTATGCGCGCTATGATATTGTGTACTACGTGTCTATGCGCGCTATGATATTGTATGCTACGTGTCTATGAGTGCTATCATATTGTATACTGTGTCTATGCGTGCTATCATATTGTATACTATGTGTCTATGCGTGCTATCGTATTGTATACTATGTGTCTATGCGTGCTATGATATTGTATACTATGTGTCTATGTTTACTATCATATTGTATACTATGTGTCTATGTGTGCTATGATATTGTATACTATGTGTCTATGTTTACTATCATTGTATACTATGTCTATGTGTGCTATCATATTGTATACAATGTGTCTATGCGTGCTATGATATTGTATACTATGTGTCTATGCATGCTATGATATTGTATACTATGTGTCTATGTTTACTATCATTGTATACTATGTCTATGCGTGCTATCATATTGTATACTACGTGTCAATGCGTGCTATCATATTGTATACTATGTATCTATGCGTGCTATGATATTGTATGGTATGTATCTATGCGTGCTATGATATTGTGTACTATGTGTCTATGCGCGCTATGCTATTGTGTGCTACGTGTCTATGTGTGCTATGATATTGTATACTATGTGTCTATGTTTACTATCATTGTATACTATGTCTATGTGTGCTATCATATTGTATACTACGTGTCAATGCGTGCTATCATATTGTATACTATGTGTCTATGCGCGCTATCATATTGTATACTATGTGTCTATGCGCGCTATGATATTGTGTACTACGTGTCTATGCGCGCTACGATATCGTATGCTACGTGTCTATGCGCGCTATGATATTGTATACTACGTGTCTATGCGCGCTACGATATTGTGTACTACGTGTCTATGCGCGCTACGATATTGTGTGCTACGTGTCTATGCGCGCTATCATATTGTGTACTACGTGTCTATGCGCGCTACGATATCGTATGCTACGTGTCTATGCGCGCTACGATATCGTGTGCTACGTGTCTATGCGCGCTATCGTATTGACAAGCGTGTCCCGCCCACCACGTGACCCCAGGCTGCTGCTTGTCCACGGGGCTGACCTGGCGGCTGTGAACTCCGAGGGGAAGATCCCCGCGGACCTGGCGGAGAGCGGCGACGCCGTGGGCGGCCTCCTGCGGCGCGAGATCCAGAGGCGGGGTGGGGGCACGCGCGGGGGATGGGGGCGGGGCGGGGGGGGGGGGGGGGGGGGGGGGGGTGGGGGGGGGGGTGGGGGGGGTTAGACATTGGGGTGGAGATGCACCTCACACACACAGACACAGAGACACACAGATACACACACAGACACACACACAGACACACACACAGACACACACAGACTGACATACACACACACAGACACACACACACTGACACACACAGACACACTTACACTGACACACACACACAGACACACACACACAGACACACACAGACATAGACACACACACAGACACACACACACTGACACACACACACAGACACACACAGACACACACACACAGACACACACACAGACATACACACACAGACATACACACACTGACATACACACACTGACACACACACACAGACATACACACAGACACACAACAACAACCAACAACAACAACCGCCATTCGCCACTAAGTGGCGGTGACGTCACCACGACGCTTGTGCCAGGCCATGTGCACCTTGAGGCTACGTGAAGTGTCGAACGCCCGCTGGCAGGAGGTCACGGGGCAGACCCAGGTGCCACGGGTCGACTGACTGAGATGACTGGCTGATGCACCACCTGTGCCCCCTACTGTGCCAACCTGCTGTGCTTTAGCCACCCGGCGCTCCGCTCGTTGTTCTGAGCGTCGCTCCTCCGCCCTCCGTTGTTGTTGGAGGGCGACTGCCTCCAACTGCCCAGTAGCATCCTTCACGAGCCTCCTCCACAGAGGCCGATCTTGACACCGCTGGTACCAGTCATCGGCAAGTCCACTCAGCTCCACGTCCTCCTGTACCACGTCACTCCATCTCTTCTCTAGCCCGTGCCGCGCCCGCTTAGCCCCCTCAATCCGGCCAAACAAAAGCTGTTTCGGCATGCGGTGGCTGGGCATGCGGGCTACATGACCCAGCCATCGCAGCCTTGCCTGCCGGAGAAGCTCACCGATGGGACCCTGCCCAGATCTTTCAAGGATTTGTGAGCTCCTCACACAATCCAGCCTGGTTAAACCCAGGATGGATCGTAGGCAGGCCAGCCTAAATGTTTCTAACCGGCGAAGATGATCCACTAAGGGGGTCCACGTTTCGCAAGCGTAGAGAAGGAAGGGAATGACCGTGGCCGAGAAGACCTGAAGCTTAGTGCGGAGCGACAGACCAGGTAGCTTCCACACAGCGTTACGCAACCGATGAAAAGATATTGCCGCTCGACTGATTCGGAGTGAGACCTCTGCTGTTAAACTGGAGCCAGTCATAAGCACACTGCCCAGGTATGGGAAACTCTCCACTCTCTCCACAACTGCCCCATCACCGATTGGGAGTTGTGGGGGTGGAGTGTCCGATGGTACAAAATACCCAGGCAGGTGCTTAGTTTTGGTGGGGCTGATGGTAAGGCCCCACCTCTTAGTGGCACGCTCCAGTCTCAGCAGCAGCGTCTCCAACTCCTCCTCTGACTGAGCAGCTATTACAAAATCATCAGCATACATAACGTGTTTGAGCAATAGGGAGCCATCCCTTGACCGCACCCGGGCATCGATTAGCCTCCCATTATATCTGTACCATATGGAGATTCCCCCGGTACAGCTATTGAAGGCTTCACGAACTACGTGGTCGAAATAGATGTTAAATAATGTGGGAGCCAGAGGACATCCCTGTCGCACCCCAAGGTGTACAGGGAATGGCTCTGACTCCCGGCCACGTAGTTTTACCCGGGCCCGCTCACCATCATGAAGGTCCTTAATGATCGTGAGCAGAGGGTCAGCTACTCCAAAAGCACGAAGAACGACCCAGAGCCCAGGCCTACTGATGGTATCATAGGCCTTGACCAGGTCAATAAAGCAGAGATGTAGGTCTTGTTGGAATTCCCTACACCTCTGCTGTAGCAGACGGACAGAAAATATGGCATCTGTGCAGGACCGCCCTTTCCTGAAACCGCATTGGGGCTCCGCAAGCCTCTCCTCAGCGTGCCTGGCAAGGCGATGCTGAATAATCCTTGCCAGGACCTTTCCCGGCACACTGAGGAGTGAGATGCCCCTGTAGTTGTTACAGTCTGTGCGGTCCCCCTTCTTAAAAAGGGGGACCACCAGGGCATCCTTCCAATCCTGCGGAACCCGTCCAGTGGTCCAGACTGTTGTTATGATGTCATATAGGGCAGTCTGTGCACAAACGCCACCCTCCTTCAGAATTTCGCTTGGGAGATCATCTCTGCCCGCTGCCTTTCCTGGTTGCAGACTCCGGATCGCCTTCAGTACTTCCTCAACAGATGGCACCTCAGCCAGCCACTCACAGGGGGTGACTTCTTTCAATATTTGAGGCACCGCAGCCTCAGCAGGGTCATCCTCACTTTGTGCCACGATGTTTTCCTGGCTGAGGGATTTTCCCTCCCCCAGGACCTCACAGAAATGCTCAGCAAATCTGCGAACCTGTTCCTGGGGGTCGGAAATTGGATCACAGACACACACAGACACACACACACACACAGACACACAAAAAGATCCCCCGTATAGCCTGAACAGACTGTAGGGGCAAGTGCTGTTAGCGAGCACCTATGAAGGCCGGAACGGTACACGAGGGGGTGGGTGGCCAGCACCACGCTCGACCGCCTTTGTCTCCCTAGTGGCAATGTTTACACACCGCACCAGGTACTCATTTTGAGGCTGAGTCGACCTAGGGGAGGCCCGGGACCGGTTCAGATAATCGTCACTAGTGTTGGCCATGAGCGGGAATCGAACCCGGGTCGCCAGGTTCATAGCGCAGCGTAGCGCTAACCACTACACTACCGCTCCCCACACACACAGACACACACACAGACACACTGACACACACACACACAGACACACAGACACACACACAGACACACACACAGTCACACACACAGACACGCACACACACGCACACACACATACACACACACAGACACACACACAGACACACAGTCACACACTTACACACAGAACAACACACAGACACATACACACACACACAGACACACACACAGACACAGACACACAGACACAGACACACAGACACACACACACACAGACACACACACAGACACATACACTGACACAGACACTTACACACTGACACAGTCACACACTTACACACACAGACACACTTACACACTCACACAGACACACACACAGACACAGACACACAGACACAGACACACAGACACACACACACACAGACACACACACAGACACATACACTGACACAGACACTTACACACTGCCACAGTCACACACTTACACACACAGACACACTTACACACACACACACAGACACACACTGACACACACACTGACACACACTTACACACACACAGTCACACACACACACACTGACACACAGTCACACACACACACACTGACACACACACACAGACACACACACACAGACACACACACACAGACACAGACACTGACACACACACACACTTACACACACACTGACACTTACACACACACACAGACACACTGACACTGACACACACACACTGACACACACACACACACTGACACACACACACTGACACACTGACACACACACTGACACAGTCACACACTTACACACACAGACACACACACACACACTGACACTTACACACACACACAATGACACACACACACACTTACACACACTTACACACTGACACACAGACACTTACACACACACACAGACACACTGACACTTACACACTTACACACACTGACACACAGACACTTACACACACACACAGACACACACACACACTTACACACACACACACAGACACACACTGACACACACACTGACACACACAGACACACACACACTTACACACACACACACAGACACACACACAGACACACTGACACTTACACACACACACACAGACACACACACAGACACACTGACACTTACACACACAGTCACACACAGTCACACACCCTGCACCGCTATTATGAATCTCTCCCCGCCCGCCCGCCCGCCCCCAGGAGTGGACGTGGAGTCTTCCCGCCAGGCGGAGGAGCAAGCCATCGTGCGTGATGCACACCAGTGGCTCCGTAGCGGCGTCGTCCGGGACGTGCCAGACCCTCACTCGGGAGGGACGGCCCTGCACGTGGCCGCCGCCAAGGGCTACACAGCCGCTCTGCGGTGAGTGGTGGGCGTGGTGGTGAGTGGTGGGTGTGGTGGTGAGTGGGGTGAGTGGGGTGAGTGTGGTGAGTGGGGTGGGTGTGGTGGGGGTGGTGAGTGGGGTGAGTGGGGTGAGCTGGGGTGAGTGGGGTGGGCGTGGTGAGTGTGGTGAGTGTGGTGAGCGTGGTGAGTGGTGAGTGGTGAGTGGTGGGTGTGGTGAGTGTGGTGAGCGTGGTGAGTGGGGTGAGCGTGGTGAGTTTGGTGAGTGTGGTGAGTGTGGTGAGGAGTGTGGTGAGCGTGGTGAGTGTGGTGAGTGGGGTGTGTGTGGTGAGCGTGGTGTGTGTGGTGAGCGTGGTGAGCGTAGTGAGCGTGGTGAGCGTGGTGAGTGTGGTGAGGAGTGTGGTGAGCGTGGTGAGTGGTGAGTGGTGAGCGTGGTGAGTGTGGTGAGCGTGGTGAGTGTGGTGGGCGTGGTGAGTGTGGTGAGCGTGGTGAGTGTGGTGAGCGTGGTGAGTGTGGTGAGCGTGGTGAGCGTGGTGAGTGTGGTGAGTGGGGTGAGGAGTGTGGTGAGCGTGGTGAGCGTAGTGAGCGTGGTGAGCGTGGTGAGTGTGGTGGGTGTGGTGGGTGTGGTGAGTGTGGTGAGTGGGGTGGGTGTGGTGGGCGTGGTGAGTGGGGTGAGCGTGGTGAGTGTGGTGAGTGGTGAGCGTGGTGAGTGGTGGGTGTGGTGAGTGTGGTGAGTGTGGTTTGTGTGAGTGTGGTGAGTGTGGTGAGTGTGGTGGGTGTGGTGAGTGGGGTGGGTGTGGTGAGTGTGGTGAGTGTGGTGAGCGTGGTGAGTGGTGAGTGGTGAGTGTGGTGAGCGTGGTGAGCGTGGTGAGTGTGGTGAGTGGGGTGAGGAGTGTGGTGAGCGTGGTGAGTGGTGAGTGGTGAGCGTGGTGAGTGTGGTGAGCGTGGTGAGTGTGGTGGGCGTGGTGAGTGTGGTGAGCGTGGTGAGTGTGGTGAGTGGGGTGAGGAGTGTGGTGAGCGTGGTGAGTGTGGTGAGTGTGGTGAGTGGGGTGTGTGTGGTGAGCGTGGTGAGCGTAGTGAGCGTGGTGAGCGTGGTGAGTGTGGTGGGTGTGGTGGGTGTGGTGAGTGTGGTGAGTGGGGTGGGTGTGGTGGGCGTGGTGAGTGGGGTGAGTGTGGTTTGTGTGAGTGTGGTGAGTGTGGTGAGTGTGGTGAGTGTGGTGGGTGTGGTGAGTGGGGTGTGTGTGAGTGTGGTGTGTGTGGTGAGTGTGGTGAGTGTGGTGAGCGTGGTGAGGGTGGTGAGGGTGGTGAGGGTGGTGAGTGTGGTTAGTGTGGTGAGTGGGGTGTGTGTGAGTGTGGTGTGTGTGGTGAGTGTGGTGAGTGTGGTGAGCGTGGTGAGGGTGGTGAGGGTGGTGAGGGTGGTGAGTGTAGTGAGCGTGGTGAGTGTGGTGAGTGTGGTGAGCGTGGTGAGGGTGGTGAGGGTGGTGAGGGTGGTGAGTGTGGTTAGTGTGGTGAGTGGGGTGTGTGTGAGTGTGGTGTGTGTGAGTGTGGTGAGTGTGGTGAGCGTGGTGAGGGTGGTGAGGGTGGTGAGTGTGGTGAGTGTGGTGAGTGGGGTGAGTGTGGTGAGTGTGGTGAGTGTGGTGAGCGTGGTGAGTGTGGTGAGTGTGGTGAGCGTGGTGAGTGTGGTGAGTGCAGTGAGCGTGGTGAGTGTGGTGAGCGTGGTGAGCGTGGTGAGTGTGGTGAGTGTGGTGAGCGTGGTGAGTGGGGTGAGGAGTGTGGTGAGCGTGGTGAGTGTGGTGAGTGTGGTGAGTGGGGTGTGTGTGGTGAGCGTGGTGAGCGTAGTGAGCGTGGTGAGCGTGGTGAGTGTGGTGGGTGTGGTGGGTGTGGTGAGTGTGGTGAGTGGGGTGGGTGTGGTGGGCGTGGTGAGTGGGGTGAGTGTGGTTTGTGTGAGTGTGGTGAGTGTGGTGAGTGTGGTGAGTGTGGTGGGTGTGGTGAGTGGGGTGTGTGTGAGTGTGGTGTGTGTGGTGAGTGTGGTGAGTGTGGTGAGCGTGGTGAGGGTGGTGAGGGTGGTGAGGGTGGTGAGTGTGGTTAGTGTGGTGAGTGGGGTGTGTGTGAGTGTGGTGTGTGTGGTGAGTGTGGTGAGTGTGGTGAGCGTGGTGAGGGTGGTGAGGGTGGTGAGGGTGGTGAGTGTAGTGAGCGTGGTGAGTGTGGTGAGTGTGGTGAGCGTGGTGAGGGTGGTGAGGGTGGTGAGGGTGGTGAGTGTGGTTAGTGTGGTGAGTGGGGTGTGTGTGAGTGTGGTGTGTGTGAGTGTGGTGAGTGTGGTGAGCGTGGTGAGGGTGGTGAGGGTGGTGAGTGTGGTGAGTGTGGTGAGTGGGGTGAGTGTGGTGAGTGTGGTGAGTGTGGTGAGCGTGGTGAGTGTGGTGAGTGTGGTGAGCGTGGTGAGTGTGGTGAGTGCGGTGAGCGTGGTGAGTGTGGTGAGTGTGGTGAGCGTGGTGAGTGTGGTGAGTGTGGTGAGTGTGGTGAGCGTGGTGAGCGTGGTGAGTGGTGAGTGGTGGGTGTGGTGAGTGTGGTGAGTGTGGTGAGCGTGGTGAGCGTGGTGAGTGTGGTGAGTGTGGTGAGCGTGGTGAGCGTGGTGAGCGTGGTGAGCGTGGTGAGTGGTGAGTGGTGGGTGTGGTGAGTGTGGTGAGTGTGGTGAGCGTGGTGAGTGGTGAGTGGTGGGTGTGGTGAGTGTGGTGAGTGTGGTGATGTTGGTGATGTTGGTGGTGATGATGGTGTTGGTGATGCTGGTGATGATGATGGTGATGATGATGGTGATGCTGGTGATGATGATGGTGATGATGATGGTGATGCTGGTGATGTTGTTGATGATGATGCTGGTGATGATGATGATGATGGTGTTAGTGATGATGCTGTTGGTGCTGTTGGTGCTGTTGGTGTGTTGGTGATGGTGATGATGCTGGTGATGCTGTTGGTGGTGTTGGTGTTGTTGATGATGATGCTGTTGCTGTTGTTGTTGTTGCTGTTCCCCGCAGGCTGCTGCTGCAGGCCGGCTATGACCCCAACGTCGCCGACTATGAGGGGTGGACTCCACTCCATGCTGCGTGTCACTGGGGCAGGGAGGACACATCCAGCGTGCTTGTGGAGAGCCTCTGTGACATGGAGGCTCGGAACCACCTGGTGTGTGAACTCACTCACTCATAGAGACACTCACTCACTCATAGAGACACTCACTCACTCATAGAGACACTCACTCACTCATAGAGACACTCACTCATAGAGACACTCATAGAGACACTCACTCATAGAGACACTCACTGGGGCAGGGAGGACACATCCAGCGTGCTTGTGGAGAGCCTCTGTGACATGGAGGCTCGGAACCACCTGGTGTGTGAACTCACTCACTCGGAGAGACACTCACTCACTCATAGAGACACTCACTCACTCATAGAGACACTCACTCACTCATAGAGACACTCACTCACTCATAGAGACACTCACTCATAGAGACACTCACTGGGGCAGGGAGGACACATCCAGCGTGCTTGTGGAGAGCCTCTGTGACATGGAGGCTCGGAACCACCTGGTGTGTGAACTCACTCACTCATAGAGACACTCACTCACTCATAGAGACACTCACTCATAGAGACACTCACTCATAGAGACACTCACTCACTCATAGAGACACTCACTCACTCATAGAGACACTCACTCACTCATAGAGACACTCACTCATAGAGACACTCACTCACTCATAGAGACACTCACTCACTCATAGAGACACTCACTCATAGAGACACTCACTCATAGAGACACTCACTCATAGAGACACTCACTCATAGAGACACTCACTCACTCATAGAGACACTCACTCATAGAGACACTCACTGGGGCAGGGAGGACACATCCAGCGTGCTTGTGGAGAGCCTCTGTGACATGGAGGCTCGGAACCACCTGGTGTGTGAACTCACTCACTCATAGAGACACTCACTCACTCATAGAGACACTCACTCACTCATAGAGACACTCACTCACTCATAGAGACACTCACTCACTCATAGAGACACTCACTCACTCATAGAGACACTCACTCATAGAGACACTCACTCACTCATAGAGACACTCACTCATAGAGACACTCATAGAGACACTCACTCATAGAGACACTCACTGGGGCAGGGAGGACACATCCAGCGTGCTTGTGGAGAGCCTCTGTGACATGGAGGCTCGGAACCACCTGGTGTGTGAACTCACTCACTCATAGAGACACTCACTCACTCATAGAGACACTCACTCACTCATAGAGACACTCACTCACTCATAGAGACACTCACTCATAGAGACACTCACTCATAGAGACACTCACTCATAGAGACACTCACTCACTCATAGAGACACTCACTCACTCATAGAGACACTCACTCACTCATAGAGACACTCACTCATAGAGACACTCACTCATAGAGACACTCACTGGGGCAGGGAGGACACATCCAGCGTGCTTGTGGAGAGCCTCTGTGACATGGAGGCTCGGAACCACCTGGTGTGTGAACTCACTCACTCATAGAGACACTCACTCACTCATAGAGACACTCACTCACTCATAGAGACACTCACTCATAGAGACACTCACTCATAGAGACACTCACTCATAGAGACACTCACTCATAGAGACACTCACTCATAGAGACACTCACTGGGGCAGGGAGGACACATCCAGCGTGCTTGTGGAGAGCCTCTGTGACATGGAGGCTCGGAACCACCTGGTGTGTGAACTCACTCACTCATAGAGACACTCACTCACTCATAGAGACACTCACTCACTCATAGAGACACTCACTCACTCATAGAGACACTCACTCATAGAGACACTCACTCATAGAGACACTCACTCATAGAGACACTCACTCACTCATAGAGACACTCACTCACTCATAGAGACACTCACTCACTCATAGAGACACTCACTCATAGAGACACTCACTCATAGAGACACTCACTGGGGCAGGGAGGACACATCCAGCGTGCTTGTGGAGAGCCTCTGTGACATGGAGGCTCGGAACCACCTGGTGTGTGAACTCACTCACTCATAGAGACACTCACTCACTCATAGAGACACTCACTCACTCATAGAGACACTCACTCATAGAGACACTCACTCATAGAGACACTCACTCATAGAGACACTCACTCATAGAGACACTCACTCATAGAGACACTCACTCATAGAGACACTCACTGGGGCAGGGAGGACACATCCAGCGTGCTTGTGGAGAGCCTCTGTGACATGGAGGCTCGGAACCACCTGGTGTGTGAACTCACTCACTCATAGAGACACTCACTCACTCATAGAGACACTCACTCACTCATAGAGACACTCACTCATAGAGACACTCACTCACTCATAGAGACACTCACTCACTCATAGAGACACTCACTCATAGAGACACTCACTCATAGAGACACTCACTGGGGCAGGGAGGACACATCCAGCGTGCTTGTAGAGAGCCTCTGTGACATGGAGGCTCGGAACCACCTGGTGTGTGAACTCACTCACTCATAGAGACACTCACTCACTCATAGAGACACTCACTCATAGAGACACTCACTCACTCATAGAGACACTCACTCATAGAGACACTCATAGAGACACTCACTCACTCATAGAGACACTCACTCACTCATAGAGACACTCACTCATAGAGACACTCACTCATAGAGACACTCACTCATAGAGACACTCACTCACTCATAGAGACACTCACTCATAGAGACACTCATAGAGACACTCACTCATAGAGACACTCACTCACTCATAGAGACACTCACTCACTCATAGAGACACTCACTCATAGAGACACTCACTCATAGAGACACTCACTCATAGAGACACTCATAGAGACACTCACTCATAGAGACACTCACTCATAGAGACACTCACTCACTCATAGAGACACTCACTCATAGAGACACTCACTCACTCATAGAGATACTCAGAGACACTCACTCACTCATAGAGACACTCATAGAGACACTCATAGAGACACTCACTCATAGAGACACTCACTCACTCATAGAGACACTCAATCACTCATAGAGACACTCACTCACTCATAGAGACACTCATAGAGACACTCATAGAGACACTCACTCATAGATACACTCATAGAGACACTCACTCATAGAGACACTCACTCATAGAGACACTCACTCACTCATAGAGACACTCACTCACTCATAGAGACACTCACTCACTCATAGAGACACTCATAGAGACACTCACTCATAGAGACACTCACTCATAGAGACACTCACTCATAGAGACACTCACTCACTCATAGAGACACTCACTCATAGAGACACTCATAGAGACACTCACTCATAGAGACACTCACTCACTCATAGAGACACTCACTCACTCATAGAGACACTCATAGAGACACTCATTGAGACACTCACTCATAGAGACACTCACTCATAGAGACACTCACTCACTCATAGAGACACTCACTCATAGAGACACTCACTCACTCATAGAGACACTCACTCATAGAGACACTCATAGAGACACTCACTCATAGAGACACTCACTCATAGAGACACTCACTCATAGAGACACTCACTCACTCATAGAGACACTCACTCACTTATAGAGACACTCACTCACTCATAGAGACACTCAGTCATAGATACACTCATAGAGATACTCATAGAGACACTCACTCATAGAGACACTCACTCATAGAGACACTCACTCACTCATAGAGACACTCACTCATAGAGACACTCACTCACTCATAGAGATACTCACTCATAGAGACACTCATAGAGACACTCACTCATAGAGACACTCACTCATAGAGACACTCACTCATAGAGACACTCACTCACTCTTTCAAATTTTTTATTTCATTCTTAGAATTTTTCATTTTAAAATTTCAACGCCGCATTCATTATTTTCATTCAACTATTTTGTAAAAAAATAAATATATATTTTCGTTTCCCGTCAACGTTACTCTACCGAAAGATCCAATCGCTCGCGCTTTGCCCCCTGCGCGTGGGAGCTAGCGACGGGTGCCTCTGGCTAGCGGCCCTTGCCCCCGACGCTCCGTCAAGGCTACGCGGGGGACCTTTGTCCGTGTGAATTTTGACTTGAAACTTTCCTGGCCGCAGGAATTAATTTTCTTGGTTCTTTCGGTAAAGTCGCGTTGGGATAGGGAACGGCGTTGGGATTTTTTGGCTTGAATTATTTTAAAAAAAAATTCAAATTTTTATTCGTTAATTTTAATTTTTCCTATTTTTATTTTTTTTTGCTTTTATTTGTTTTCAATTTAGTGTTTTTTAATTTAAATTAAACTTTTCATTTTTAACGTGGGTTTTTCGCTTTAATTATTTAAAAAGAAAATTCAAATTTGTATTCGTTAATTTTAATTCAATTTTTACTATTTTTATTGTGGGTATTTTTTTGCTTTTATTTGTTTTTAATTTAGTGTTTTTTAATTAATGTTTTTAAATTTTACTTTTCATTTTTAACGTGGGTTTTTCGCTTTAATTATAAAAAAAAAAATTCAAATTTGTATTCGTTAATTTTAATTAAATTTTTACTATTTTTATTGTGGGTATTTTTTTGCTTTTATTTGTTTTTAATTTAGTGTTTTTTAATTGATGTTTTTAAATTTTACTTTTCATTTTTAACGTGGGTTTTTCGCTTTAATTATAAAAAAAAAAAATCAAATTTTTATTCGTTAATTTTAATTAAATTTTTACTATTTTTATTGTGGGTATTTTTTTGCTTTTATTTGTTTTTAATTTAGTGTTTTTTTAATTGATGTTTTTAAATTTTACTTTTCATTTTTAACGTGGGTTTTTCGCTTTAATTATTAAAAAAAATTCAAATTTTTATTTGTTAATTTTAATTTAATTTTTACTATTTTTATTGTGGGTATTTTTTGCTTTTATTTGTTTTCAATTTAGTGTTTTTTAATTTTAATGTTTTGAAATTCAAATTAAATTTTTCCATTTTTAACGTGGATTTTTTTTTTGCTTTTATTATTTTAAATTTAGTTTTTTTTTTTTTAAATTGATGTTTTCAAACAAAAAATTTAATTTCACAATTTTCCATTTTCATCGCGCGGGTTTTTTTTCCGTTCGCTTTTATTATCTTCAATTTATTTTTTTCCCCCCCTTCAAAATTTTTTCCTTGAATTTTGAGAATTTTTCATTTTGAAATTTCAATTTCGGTTTCATTTTTTCATTCAACAACCGGAGCTTGCCCCCGACGCTCCGTCAACGCCGTGTGATTTTGCGCAGGGCCAGACGGCATTTGACGTGAGCGATGAAGACTTCTGCAAGTTCCTGGAGGAGCTCCACAAGAAGCAGAGAGAGGTGGGCACTGCCACCCAGCCTGGCACAGGCCTAGGGGGTGTGGGGTGTGGGGTGTGTGTGTTAGTGTGTGTGTGTTAGTGTCAGTGTGTGTGTGTGTGTTAGTGTCAGTGTGTTAGTGTGTGTGTGTATCAGTGTGTGTGTCAGTGTGTGTGTGTTAGTGTGTGTGTGTTAGTGTCAGTGTGTGTGTGTTAGTGTCAGTGTGTGTGTGTTAGTGTGTCAGTGTGTGTGTGTGTGTTAGTGTGTGTGTGTCAGTGTGTGTGTGTTAGTGTCAGTGTGTGTGTGTTAGTGTGTCAGTGTGTGTGTGTGTTAGTGTCAGTGTGTGTGTGTGTGTCAGTCTGTGTGTGTGTCAGTGTGTCAGTGTGTGTGTGTTAGTGTGTCAGTGTGTGTTAGTGTCAGTGTGTGTTAGTGTCAGTGTGTGTGTGTGTCAGTGTGTGTGTGTGTCAGTGTGTGTGTGTGTGTTAGTGTCAGTGTGTGTGTGTCAGTGTGTGTGTGTGTGTCAGTGTGTGTGTGTGTGTCAGTGTGTGTGTGTGTCAGTGTGTCAGTGTGTCAGTGTGTGTGTGTCAGTGTGTGTGTGTTAGTGTCAGTGTGTGTGTGTTAGTGTCAGTGTGTGTGTGTTAGTGTCAGTGTGTGTGTGTCAGTGTGTGTGTGTTAGTGTCAGTGTGTGTGTGTTAGTGTCAGTGTGTGTGTGTCAGTGTGTGTGTGTGTCAGTGTGTCAGTGTGTGTGTGTGTGTATCAGTGTGTGTGTGTCAGTGTGTGTGTGTCAGTGTGTGTGTGTTAGTGTGTGTGTGTTAGTGTCAGTGTGTGTGTGTTAGTGTCAGTGTGTGTGTGTCAGTGTGTGTGTGTGTGTCAGTGTGTGTGTGTTAGTGTCAGTGTGTGTGTGTTAGTGTGTGTGTGTTAGTGTCAGTGTGTGTGTGTGTGTCAGTGTGTGTGTGTGTGTGTTAGTGTCAGTGTGTGTGTGTTAGTGTCAGTGTGTGTGTGTTAGTGTGTGTGTGTTAGTGTGTGTGTGTTAGTGTCAGTGTGTTAGTGTGTGTGTGTGTGTCAGTGTGTGTGTGTGTCAGTGTGTCAGTGTGTGTGTGTCAGTGTGTGTGTGTTAGTGTCAGTGTGTGTGTGTTAGTGTCAGTGTGTGTGTGTTAGTGTCAGTGTGTGTGTGTCAGTGTGTGTGTGTTAGTGTCAGTGTGTGTGTGTTAGTGTCAGTGTGTGTGTGTCAGTGTGTGTGTGTGTCAGTGTGTCAGTGTGTGTGTGTGTGTATCAGTGTGTGTGTGTCAGTGTGTGTGTGTCAGTGTGTGTGTGTTAGTGTGTGTGTGTTAGTGTCAGTGTGTGTGTGTTAGTGTCAGTGTGTGTGTGTCAGTGTGTGTGTGTGTGTCAGTGTGTGTGTGTGTGTGTGTCAGTGTGTGTGTGTGTGTCAGTGTGTCAGTGTGTGTGTGTGTGAGTGTGTGTGTTAGTGTCAGTGTGTGTGTGTTAGTGTCAGTGTGTGTGTGTTAGTGTCAGTGTGTGTGTGTCAGTGTGTGTGTGTCAGTGTGTGTGTGTCAGTGTGTGTGTGTTAGTGTCAGTGTGTGTGTGTGTTAGTGTGTCAGTGTGTGTGTGTGTGTGTTAGTGTGTGTGTGTTAGTGTGTGTGTGTGTGTCAGTGTGTGTGTGTGTCAGTGTGTCAGTGTGTCAGTGTGTGTGTGTCAGTGTGTGTGTGTCAGTGTGTGTGTGTTAGTGTCAGTGTGTGTGTGTCAGTGTGTGTGTGTTAGTGTCAGTGTGTGTGTGTGTTAGTGTGTCAGTGTGTGTGTGTGTTAGTGTGTGTGTGTTAGTGTGTGTGTGTGTGTCAGTGTGTGTGTGTGTCAGTGTGTCAGTGTGTCAGTGTGTGTGTGTCAGTGTGTGTGTGTCAGTGTGTGTGTGTTAGTGTCAGTGTATGTGTGTCAGTGTGTGTGTGTTAGTGTCAGTGTGTGTGTGTGTTAGTGTGTCAGTGTGTGTGTGTGTTAGTGTGTGTGTGTTAGTGTGTGTGTGTGTGTCAGTGTGTGTGTGTGTCAGTGTGTCAGTGTGTCAGTGTGTGTGTGTCAGTGTGTGTGTGTCAGTGTGTGTGTGTTAGTGTCAGTGTGTGTGTGTCAGTGTGTGTGTGTTAGTGTCAGTGTGTGTGTGTTAGTGTCAGTGTGTGTGTGTTAGTGTCAGTGTGTGTGTGTCAGTGTGTGTGTCAGTGTGTGTGTGTCAGTGTGTGTGTGTTAGTGTCAGTGTGTGTTAGTGTCAGTGTGTGTGTCAGTGTGTGTGTGTGTGTCAGTGTGTGTGTGTCAGTGTGTGTGTCAGTGTGTGTGTGTGTCAGTGTGTCAGTGTGTCAGTGTGTGTGTGTGTGAGTGTGTGTGTGTGTGTCAGTGTGTGTGTGTGTCAGTGTGTCAGTGTGTGTGTTAGTGTCAGTGTGTGTGTGTTAGTGTCAGTGTGTGTGTGTTAGTGTCAGTGTGTGTGTGTTAGTGTCAGTGTGTGTGTGTTAGTGTGTGTGTGTGTTAGTGTCAGTGTGTGTGTGTTAGTGTCAGTGTGTGTGTGTCAGTGTGTGTGTGAGTGTGTGTGTCAGTGTTGGTGTGTCAGTGTGTGTGTGTGTCAGTGTGTGTCAGTGTGTGTTAGTGTGTGTGTCAGTGTGTCAGTGTGTGTGTCAGTGTGTCAGTGTGTGTTAGTGTCAGTGTGTGTGTGTCAGTGTGTGTGTGTCAGTGTGTGTGTCAGTGTGTGTGTCAGTGTGTGTTAGTGTCAGTGTGTGTGTGTCAGTGTGTGTGTGTCAGTGTGTGTGTCAGTGTGTGTTAGTGTCAGTGTGTGTGTGTCAGTGTGTGTGTGTCAGTGTGTTAGTGTCAGTGTGTGTGTGTCAGTGTGTGTGTGAGTGTGTGTGTCAGTGTTGGTGTGTCAGTGTGTGTGTGTGTGTCAGTGTGTGTGTTAGTGTGTGTGTGTGTCAGTGTGTCAGTGTGTGTGTCAGTGTGTCAGTGTGTGTGTGTCAGTGTGTGTGTGTCAGTGTGTGTGTCAGTGTGTGTGTCAGTGTGTGTTAGTGTCAGTGTGTGTGTGTCAGTGTGTGTGTGTCAGTGTGTGTGTCAGTGTGTGTGTCAGTGTGTGTGTGTGTGTGTCAGTGTGTGTGTGTCAGTGTGTGTGTGTCAGTGTGTGTGTGTTAGTGTGTGTGTGTTAGTGTCAGTGTGTGTGTGTTAGTGTCAGTGTGTGTGTGTGTGTCAGTGTGTCAGTGTGTGTGTGTCAGTGTGTGTGTGTGTGTGTCAGTGTCAGTGTGTGGGTGTGTGTCAGTGTGTGTGTGTGTCAGTGTGTGTGTGTGTGTCGGTGTGTGTGTGTGTCAGTGTGTGTCAGTGTGTCAGTGTGTGTGTCAGTGTGTGTGTGTCAGTGTGTGTGTGTCAGTGTGTGTGTTAGTGTGTGTGTGTCAGTGTGTGTGTGTCAGTGTGTGTGTGTGTGTTAGTGTGTGTGTGTGTGTTAGTGTGTGTGTGTCAGTGTGTCAGTGTGTGTCAGTGTGTGTGTGTGTGTCAGTGTGTGTGTCAGTGTGTGTGTGTGTGTTAGTGTGTGTGTCAGTGTGTCAGTGTGTGTGTGTTAGTGTGTGTGTGTGTGTCAGTGTGTGTCAGTGTGTGTGTGTGTGTCAGTGTGTGTGTGTTAGTGTGTGTGTGTGTCAGTGTGTCAGTGTGTGTGTGTGTCAGTGTGTGTGTGTCAGTGTGTGTGTCAGTGTGTGTGTGTCAGTGTGTGTGTGTCAGTGTGTGTCAGTGTGTCAGTGTGTGTGTGTGTGTGTCAGTGTGTGTGTGTGTGTCAGTGTGTGTCAGTGTGTGTCAGTGTGTGTGTGTGTGTCAGTGTGTGTGTGTCAGTGTGTGTGTGTCAGTGTGTCAGTGTGTGTGTGTCAGTGTGTGTGTGTGTGTCAGTGTGTCAGTGTGTGTGTGTGTGTCAGTGTCAGTGTGTGTGTGTCAGTGTCAGTGTGTGTGTCTGTGTGTGTGTGTCTGTCTGTGTGTCAGTGTGTCACTGTGTGTGTGTGTATGTGTCTGTGTGTGTGTGTGTCTGTGTGTGTGTGTCTGTTTGTGTGTCAGTGTGTGTGTGTGTCACTGTGTGTCTGTGTGTCACTGTGTGTGTGTGTGTCTGTGTGTGTCAGTGTGTGTGTGTGTGTCAGTGTGTCACAGTGTGTGTGTGTGTGTGTGTCAGTGTGTCAGTGTGTGTCAGTGTGTCAGTGTGTGTGTGTCACAGTGTGTGTGTGTGTGTCACTGTGTGTGTGTGTCACTGTGTGTGTGTGTGTGTCAGTGTGTGTGTGTCTGTGTGTGTGTCTGTGTGTCAGTGTGTCAGTGTGTGTGTGTGTCACTGTGTGTGTGTGTCACTGTGTGTCTGTGTGTCCCGGGTTCGATTCCCGCTCTCGGCCACGACGATTACCTGAACCCCGGTACCTGGCCCTCCCCTAAGTGTCTACTCAGCCTCTAAATGAGCAGCTGCTTAGTGAACATCGCTAGCACCGGGCGGGGGGGGGGGGGGGAGGGGGGGGGAGGGACAAAGGCGGCCGGGCGTGGTGTTGCCGGCCGGTGTGTTTGTGCGAGCGAGGCCTCTCGGCCTGCTGCTCGTCACTGACGGCACTCGCCCCCCTCCACCCGTCCCGTTACAGTGGGTCGAGGGGCCACGTGGGTCACCTTTACCTTTGCCTTTGTCTCTGTGTGTCTGTGTGTCTGTGTCTCTGTGTCTGTGTCTCTGTGTCTCTGTGTCTCTGTGTGTCTGTGTCTCTGTGTCTCTGTGTGTCTGTGTCTCTGTGTGTCTGTGTGTCTGTGTCTCTGTGTGTCAGTGTCTCTGTGTGTCTGTGTCTCTGTGTGTCTGTGTGTCTGTGTGTCTGTGTCTCTGTGTCTCTGTGTCTCTGTGTGTCTGTGTCTCTGTGTCTCTGTGTCTCTGTGTGTCTGTGTCTCTGTGTCTCTGTCTCTGTGTCTGTGTCTCTGTGTCTCTGTGTGTCTGTGTCTCTGTGTCTCTGTGTCTCTGTCTCTGTGTCTCTGTGTCTCTGTGTCTCTGTGTCTCTGTCTCTGTGTCTGTGTCTCTGTGTCTCTGTGTCTCTGTGTCTCTGTGTCTCTGTGTCTCTGTCTCTGTGTCTCTGTGTCTCTGTGTCTCTGTGTGTCTGTGTCTCTGTGTCTCTGTGTCTCTGTGTCTCTGTGCCTCTGTGTCTCTGTGTGTCTGTGTCTCTGTGTCTCTGTGTCTCTGTGTGTCTGTGTCTCTGTGTCTCTCTGTGTCTCTGTGTCTCTGTGTGTCTGTGTCTCTGTGTCTCTGTGTCTCTGTGTGTCTGTGTCTCTGTGTCTCTGTGTGTCTGTGTCTCTGTGTCTCTGTGTCTCTGTGTCTCTGTGTCTCTGTGTCTCTGTGTGTCTGTGTCTCTGTGTCTCTGTGTCTCTGTGTGTCTGTGTCTCTGTGTCTCTGTGTGTCTGTGTCTCTGTGTCTCTGTGTCTCTGTGTCTCTGCCTCTGTGTCTCTGTGTCTCTGTGTCTCTGTCTCTGTGTCTCTGTGTCTCTGTGTCTCTGTGTCTCTGTGTGTCTGTGTCTCTGTGTCTCTGTGTCTCTGTGTCTCTGTGTCTCTGTGTCTCTGTGTGTCTGTGTCTCTGTGTCTCTGTGTGTCTGTGTCTCTGTGTGTCTGTGTGTCTGTGTCTCTGTGTGTCTGTGTGTCTGTGTCTCTGTGTGTCTGTGTCTCTGTGTGTCTGTGTGTCTGTGTCTCTGTGTGTCTGTGTCTCTGTGTGTCTGTGTGTCTGTGTCTCTGTGTCTCTGTGTGTCTGTGTGTCTGTGTCTCTGTGCCTCTGTGTCTCTGTGTGTCTCTGTGTGTCTGTGTCTCTGTGTGTCTGTGTCTCTGTGTCTCTGTGTGTCTGTGTCTCTGTGTCTCTGTGTCTCTGTGTGTCTGTGTCTCTCTGTCTCTGTGTCTCTGTCTGTCTGTGTCTCTGTGTCTCTGTGTCTCTGTGTATCTCTGTCTCTGTGTCTCTGTGTCTCTGTGTCTCTGTGTCTCTGTGTCTCTGTCTCTGTGTGTCTGTGTCTCTGTGTCTCTGTGTCTCTGTGTGTCTGTGTCTCTGTGTCTCTGTGTCTCTGTCTCTGTGTCTCTGTGTCTCTGTGTCTCTGTCTCTGTGTCTCTGTCTCTGTGTCTGTGTTTCTGTGTTTCTGTGTCTCTGTGTCTCTGTGTCTCTGTGTCTCTGTGTGTCTGTGTCTCTGTGTCTCTGTGTCTCTGTGTGTCTGTGTCTCTGTGTCTCTGTGTGTCTGTGTCTCTGTGTCTCTGTGTCTCTGTGTCTCTGTGTCTCTGTGTGTCTGTGTGTCTCTGTGTCTCTGTGTCTCTGTGTGTCTGTGTCTCTGTGTCTCTGTCTCTGTGTCTCTGTGTCTCTGTGTCTCTGTCTCTGTGTGTCTCTGTCTCTGTGTGTCTGTGTCTCTGTGTGTCTGTGTCTCTGTGTCTCTGTGTCTCTGTGTGTCTGTGTCTCTGTGTCTCTGTGTCTCTGTGTCTCTGTCTCTGTGTCTCTGTGTCTCTGTGTCTCTGTATCTCTGTGTCTCTGTGTCTCTGTGTCTCTGTTGTCTCTGTGTCTCTGTGTCTCTGTGTCTCTGTGTCTCTGTTGTCTCTGTGTCTCTGTGTGTCTGTGTCTCTGTGTCTCTGTGTCTCTGTGTCTCTGTGTCTCTGTGTGTCTGTGTCTCTGTGTCTCTGTGTCTCTGTGTGTCTGTGTCTCTGTGTCTCTGTGTCTCTGTCTCTGTGTCTCTGTGTCTCTGTGTCTCTGTGTGTCTCTGTCTCTGTGTGTCTGTGTCTCTGTGTGTCTGTGTCTCCGTGTGTCTGTGTCTCTGTGTCTCTGTGTCTCTGTGTGTCTGTGTCTCTGTGTGTCTGTGTCTCTGTGTCTCTGTGTCTCTGTGTCTTTGTCTCTGTGTGTCTCTGTCTCTGTGTGTCTGTGTCTCTGTGTCTCTGTGTCTCTGTGTCTCTGTTGTCTCTGTGTCTCTGTGTCTCTGTTGTCTCTGTGTCTCTGTGTCTCTGTGTCTCTGTGTCTCTGTGACTCTGTGTGTCTGTGTCTCTGTGTCTCTGTGTCTCTGTCTCTGTGTCTCTGTCTCTGTGTCTCTGTGTCTCTGTGTGTCTGTGTCTCTGTGTCTCTGTGTCTCTGTCTCTCTGTCTCTGTGTCTCTGTGTCTCTGTGTGTCTGTCTCTCTGTGTGTCTGTGTCTCTGTGTGTCTGTGTCTCTGTGTCTCTGTGTCTCTGTGTGTCTGTGTCTCTGTGTCTCTGTGTCTCTGTGTGTCTGTGTCTCTGTTGTCTCTGTGTCTCTGTGTCTCTGTCTCTGTGTGTCTGTGTCTCTCTGTGTCTCTGTGTCTCTGTGTATCTGTGTCTCTGTGTCTCTGTGTGTCTGTGTCTCTGTGTCTCTGTGTCTCTGTGTCTTTGTCTCTGTGTGTCTCTGTCTCTGTGTGTCTGTGTCTCTGTGTGTCTGTGTCTCTGTGTGTCTGTGTCTCTGTGTCTCTGTGTCTGTGTCTCTGTGTCTCTGTGTGTCTGTGTCTCTGTGTCTCTGTTGTCTCTGTGTCTCTCTGTCTCTGTGTCTCTGTGTCTCTGTGTCTCTGTGTCTCTCTGTCTCTGTGTCTCTGTGTCTCTGTGTCTCTGTTGTCTCTGTGTCTCTGTGTCTCTGTGTCTCTGTCTCTCTGTGTGTGCGTGTCTCTGTGTCTCTGTGTCTCTGTGTGTCTGTGTCTCTGTGTCTCTGTGTCTCTGTGTCTCTGTTGTCTCTGTGTCTCTGTGTGTCTCTGTCTCTGTGTCTCTGTGTCTCTGTGTGTCTGTGTCTCTGTGTCTCTGTGTGTCTGTGTCTCTGTGTCTCTGTGTCTCTGTCTCCGTGTCTCTGTCTCTGTGTCTCTGTGTCTCTGTCTCTCTGTCTCTGTGTCTCTGTGTCTCTGTGTCTCTGTTGTCTCTGTGTCTCTGTGTCTCTGTGTGTCTGTGTCTCTGTGTCTCTGTGTGTCTGTGTCTCTGTGTCTCTGTGTATCTCTGTCTCTGTGTCTCTGTGTCTCTGTGTCTCTGTGTGTCTGTGTCTCTGTGTCTCTGTGTGTCTGTGTCTCTGTGTCTCTGTGTCTCTGTGTCTCTGTGTGTCTGTGTCTCTGTGTGTCTGTGTCTCTGTGTCTCTCTGTCTCTGTGTCTCTGTGTCTCTGTGTCTCTGTTGTCTCTGTGTCTCTGTGTCTCTGTGTCTCTGTCTCTCTGTGTGTGCGTGTCTCTGTGTCTCTGTGTCTCTGTTGTCTCTGTGTCTCTGTGTGTCTCTGTCTCTGTGTCTCTGTGTCTCTGTGTGTCTGTGTCTCTGTGTCTCTGTGTGTCTGTGTCTCTGTGTCTCTGTGTCTCTGTCTCTGTGTCTCTGTGTCTCTGTGTCTCTGTCTCTGTGTCTCTGTGTCTCTGTGTCTCTGTGTATCTCTGTCTCTGTGTCTCTGTGTCTCTGTGTCTCTGTCTCTCTGTGTCTCTGTTGTCTCTGTGTCTCTGTGTCTGTGTGTGTCTGTGTCTCTGTGTGTCTGTGTCTCTGTGTCTCTGTGTCTCTGTTGTCTCTCTGTCTCTGTGTCTCTGTGTCTCTGTGTCTCTGTTGTCTCTGTGTCTCTGTGTGTCTCTGTGTCTCTGTCTCTGTGTCTCTGTGTCTCTGTGTGTCTGTGTCTCTGTCTCTGTGTCTCTGTGTCTCTGTGTGTCTGTGTGTCTGTGTCTCTGTGTCTCTGTGTGTCTGTGTCTCTGTGTCTCTGTGTATCTCTGTCTCTGTGTCTCTGTGTGTCTGTGTCTCTGTGTCTCTGTGTCTCTGTTGTCTCTGTGTCTCTGTGTCTCTGTGTGTCTGTGTCTCTGTGTCTCTGTGTGTCTGTGTCTCTGTGTCTCTGTGTCTCTGTGTCTCTGTGTGTCTGTGTCTCTGTGTCTCTGTGTCTCTCTGTCTCTGTGTCTCTGTTGTCTCTGTGTCTCTGTGTCTCTGTGTCTCTGTGTCTCTGTGTCTCTGTGTGTCTGTGTCTCTGTGTCTCTGTGTCTCTGTGTCTCTGTTGTCTCTGTGTCTCTGTGTCTCTGTGTGTCTGTGTCTCTGTGTCTCTGTGTCTCTGTGTGTCTGTGTCTCTGTGTCTCTGTGTCTCTGTGTATCTCTGTCTCTGTGTCTCTCTGTCTCTGTGTGTCTGTGTCTCTGTGTCTCTGTGTGTCTGTGTCTCTGTGTCTCTGTGTCTCTGTGTCTCTGTGTGTCTGTGTCTCTGTGTCTCTGTGTGTCTGTGTCTCTGTGTCTCTGTGTGTCTGTGTCTCTGTGTGTCTGTGTCTCCGTGTGTCTGTGTCTCTGTGTCTCTGTGTCTCTGTGTGTCTGTGTCTCTGTGTCTCTGTGTCTCTGTTGTCTCTGTGTCTCTGTGTCTCTGTGTATCTCTGTCTCTGTGTCTCTCTGTCTCTGTGTGTCTGTGTCTCTGTGTCTCTGTGTGTCTGTGTCTCTGTGTCTCTGTGTCTCTGTGTCTCTGTGTGTCTGTGTCTCTGTGTCTCTGTGTGTCTGTGTCTCTGTGTCTCTGTGTGTCTGTGTCTCTGTGTGTCTGTGTCTCCGTGTGTCTGTGTCTCTGTGTCTCTGTGTCTCTGTGTGTCTGTGTCTCTGTGTCTCTGTGTCTCTGTTGTCTCTGTGTCTCTGTGTCTCTGTTGTCTCTGTTGTCTCTGTGTCTCTGTGTCTCTGTTGTCTCTGTGTCTCTGTGTCTCTGTGTCTCTGTGTGTCTCTGTCTCTGTGTGTCTCTGTCTCTGTGTGTCTGTGTCTCTGTGTCTCTGTGTCTCTGTGTCTCTGTGTGTGTCTGTGTCTCTGTGTCTCTGTGTCTCTGTGTCTCTGTTGTCTCTGTGTCTCTGTGTCTCTCTGTCTCTGTGTCTGTGTGTCTCTGTGTCTCTGTGTCTCTCTGTGTCTCTGTTGTCTCTGTGTCTCTCTGTGTCTCTGTGTCTCTGTGTGTCTGTGTCTCTGTGTCTCTGTGTCTCTGTGTCTCTGTGTCTCTGTGTCTCTGTGTCTCTGTGTCTCTGTGTGTGCGTGCGTTGGCAGATGCACAGCGAGATGGAGCGTGAAGGCCTTGCCAAGGGGGCCATGATGGAGCAGGTTCACCCACCCCAGGCCCGGCCGCACAGGTACACAGGACTGGCTCACGGAGGACCGGCGTGCGTGTGTGTGTGTGTAAGTGTGTAAATGTGTGTAAATGTGTGTGTGTGTGTAAATGTGTGTGTGTAAATGTGTGTGTAAATGTGTGTGTGTGCGTGTGTGTGTGTTTGTGTGTAAATGTGTGTGTGTAAATGTGTGTGTGTGTGTGTGTAAATGTGTGTGTGTGTGTGTAAATGTGTGTGTGTGTGTGTAAATGTGTGTGTGTGTGTGTAAATGTGTGTGTGTGTGTGTGTAAATGTGTGTGTGTGTAAATGTGTGTGTGTGTAAATGTGTGTGTGTGTGTGTAAATGTGTGTGTGTGTAAATGTGTGTGTAAATGTGTGTGTAAATGTGTGTGTGTGTGTGTGTAAATGTGTGTGTGTGTAAATGTGTGTGCGTGTGTAAATGTGTGTGTAAATGTGTGTGTGTGTGTGTGTGCAAAACAACCCCCTACCTCCTCGCGGTGCCGGACGGGCAACTCTGTCGTGGACAGCGCTGTGGGGGGAGATCCAATTTTGATTGGCTCCTCCACTCATGGCATATGTGTCCACCACAGGGGCTAAACGGGGGCTCTGGACGGGTGCGAGGGGCTGGTAACCCCTTCACCTTCAATTAATTACCACGAAACCACGAATTAAACTGAAATATGTAACAACTAAGCTTGTGCCGGAGGCCCCGGGGGGCCAGGCGTCTATGACGTCTCCTGGCCAAACCCCAATTGGCGGAGCCAGGAGATTGAATACCTACCCTCGGGGCTACTCCAGAAACAACGAAAAGCCACTACGGGTGGCCACGTGGAATGTTCGAACGTTCACTGCAGAGGAGAGGCTGCCACTCCTCTGTCGGGAGCTGGACCGGTACCGCCTGGATCTATGCGGCATTCAGGAGGTCCGGTGAACCGGCTCTGGCTCCTGCCACCATGAGGGGTGGACAGTCCTCTACTCGGGGCAGCAGACTGCCAAACAACAGGGTGTGGGTCTTCTTTTGAACAAAAGAATGAAGGGGGCGTGGGAGCGTGGCGGTGAGGTGTGGGAAGCTGTAAGCCCCAGGCTACTTTGGGCTCGCCTTCCCATCAACCGGAGGCGAGGAATGGTGGTCGTGGTTACTTATGCCCCCACCGAAGATGAACATCCGTGGAGGGATGCAGGCAAAGCCGATGAGTCAGATGCCTTCTATGACCTCCTGTCACAGGTGCTGGCTAAAGTGGCCCCTCGGGATAGAGTCATCATGTTGGGTGACTTCAATGCCCGAGTTGGTCATGATACTGGCACCTGGTCTGGAGTGATTGGAGGGCATGGGCCAGATCAGCTCAATAACAACGGTAGGAGGCTGCTAGATTTTTGTGCAGCCCATGGGCTTGTAATTACCAACACGCTGTTCCGGCATCGGCGCATCCACACAACATCATGGATGCATGCCGGGTCCAAGCAAGAAGATCTGCTGGACTACATAGTGACGGACCAGCGAATGCGAGCCCATGTCCTTGACACCAGGACCTACCGTGGAGCTGATCTGCCCTCTGACCATCGACTAGTCATCCGTAAGATGCGCCTGCCATTCTTCCACTCCGGTGGTGGGTGTACACCCAGGACCCCATTCCAACCTAAAGTGGCCTGGTCTCAGTTATCTGATGAAAGTTGCAAGCGAGAATTTCATCATCGCTTGCGGCTGGGATTGGCATCGTCCCCGACTCCTCCTGATGTCGAGGGTAAATGGGCGAGGTTTAGGACTGTGACTCATGCAGCTGCAATGGCTGCTTTGGGTACGCGGTCCAGACCTCCCCAGACACCCTGGCTGACAGAGGAGTTGTTCAGGATGGTTGAGAAAAAGCGACAGGCCCACTGTCATCGGCTACAGAATCCCACGTCAGAGAATGAGGAGGCTTACCGCAGCCTTCGCTCGGAGGTTCGGAGAGCCGTGAGGCGCTGCAAGGATGGGTGGTGGTCGCGGGTTGCTGAGGAGATGGAGTCTGCCTCAGTGGCCCGTGATCACAAATCTCTATTTAACTCCATCAAAAAAGTAACCTGCAGCGCCACACCTATTACCATCATTAGGGGAAAAAACGGTGATCCAATTTCCGTCCCCCAGGAACAGGTTCGCAGATTTGCTGAGCATTTCTGTGAGGTCCTGGGGGAGGGAAAATCCCTCAGCCAGGAAAACATCGTGGCACAAAGTGAGGATGACCCTGTAGAGGCTGCGGTGCCTCAAATATTGGATGAAGTCACCCCCTGTGAGTGGCTGGCTGAGGTGCCATCTGCTGAGGAAGTATTGAAGGCGATCCGGAGTCTGAGACCAGGAAAGGCAGCGGGCAGAGATGATCTCCCAAGCGAAATGCTGAGGGAGGGTGGCGTTTGTGCACAGACTGCCCTATATGACATCATAACAACAGTCTGGACCGCTGGACGGGTTCCGCAGGATTGGAAGGATACCCTGGTGGTCCCCCTTTTTAAGAAGGGGGACCGCACAGACTGTAACAACTACAGGGGCACCTCACTCCTCAGTGTGCCGGGAAAGGTCCTGGCAAGGATTATTCAGCATCGCCTTGCCAGGCACGCTGAGGAGAGGCTTGCGGAGCCCCAATGCGGTTTCAGGAAAGGGCGGTCCTGCACAGATGCCATATTTTCTGTTCGTCTGCTACAGCAGACGTGTAGGGAATTCCAACAAGACCTACATCTCTGCTTTATTGACCTGGTCAAGGCCTATGATACCATCAGTCGGCCTGGGCTCTGGGTCGTTCTTCGTGCTTTTGGAGTACCTGACCCTCTGCTCACGATCATTAAGGACCTTCATGATGGTGAGCGGGCCCGGGTAAAACTACGTGGCCGGGAGTCAGAGCCATTCCCTGTACACCTTGGGGTGCGACAGGGATGTCCTCTGGCTCCCACATTATTTAACATCTATTTTGACCACGTAGTTCGTGAAGCCTTCAATAGCTGTACCGGGGGAATCTCCATATGGTACAGATATAATGGGAGGCTAATCGATGCCCGGGTGCGGTCAAGGGATGGCTCCCTATTGCTCAACCACGTTATGTATGCTGATGATTTGGTAATAGCTGCTCAGTCAGAGGAGGAGTTGGAGACGCTGCTGCTGAGACTGGAGCGTGCCACTAAGAGGTGGGGCCTTACCATCAGCCCCACCAAAACTAAGCACCTGCCTGGGTATTTTGTACCATCGGACACTCCACCCCCACAACTCCCAATCGGTGATGGGGCAGTTGTGGAGAGAGTGGAGAGTTTCCCATACCTGGGCAGTGTGCTTATGACTGGCTCCAGTTTAACAGCAGAGGTCTAACTCCGAATCAGTCGAGCGGCAATATCTTTTCATCGGTTGCGTAACGCTGTGTGGAAGCTACCTGGTTTGTCGCTCCGCACTAAGCTTCAGGTCTTCTCGGCCACGGTCATTCCCTCCCTTCTCTACGCTTGCGAAACGTGGACCCCCCTAATGGAACATCTACGCCGGTTAGAAACATTTAGGCTGGCCTGCCTACGGATCCATCCTGGGTTTAACCAGACTGGATTGTGTGAGGAGCTCACAAATCCTTGAAAGATCTGGGCAGGGTCCCATCGGTGAGCTCCTCCGGCAGGCAAGGCTGCGATGGCTGGGTCATGTAGCCCGCATGCCCAGCCATCGCATGCCGAAACAGCTTTTGTTTGGCCGGATTGAGGGGGCTAAGCGGGCGCGGCACGGGCTAGAGAAGAGATGGAGTGATGTGGTACAGGAGGATGTGGAGCTGAGTGGACTTGCCGATGACTGGTACCAGCGGTGTCAAGATCGGCCTCTGTGGAGGAGGCTCGTGAAGGACGCTACTGGGCAGTTGGAGGCAGTCGCCCTCCAACAACAACGGAGGGCGGAGGAGCGACGCTCACAACAGCGAGCGGAGCGCCGGGTGGCTAAAGCACAGCAGGTTGGCACAGTAGGGGGCACAGGTGGTGCATCAGCCAGTCATCTCAGTCAGTCGACCCGTGGCACCTGGGTCTGCCCCGTGACCACCTGCCAGCGGGCGTTCGACACTTCACGTGGCCTCAGGGTGCACATAGCCTGGCACAAGCGTCGTGGTGACGTCACCGCCACTTAGTGGCGAATGGCGGTTGTTGTTGTTGTTGTGTGTAAATGTGTGTAAATGTGTGTGTGTAAATGTGTGTGTGTGTGTAAATGTGTGTGTAAATGTGTGTAAATGTGTGTAAATGTGTGTAAATGTGTGTAAATGTGTGTGTAAATGTGTGTAAATGTGTGTGTGTAAATGTGTGTGTGTGTGTGTGTAAATGTGTGTGTGTGTAAATGTGTGTGCGTGTGTGTGTGTAAATGTGTGTGTGTAAATGTGTGTGTAAATGTGTGTGTGTGTAAATGTGTGTGTGTGTAAATGTGTGTGTGTGTGTAAATGTGTGTGTGTGTAAATGTGTGTGTGTGTAAATGTGTGTAAATGTGTGTGTGTAAATGTGTGTGTGTAAATGTGTGTGTGTAAGTGTGTGTGTGTGTAAATATGTGTGTGTAAATGTGCGTGTGTAAATGTGTGTGTGTGTGTGTAAATGTGTGTGTGTGTAAATGAGTGTGTGTGTGTGTGTATATGTGTGTCTGTGTGTGTGTGTAAATGTGTGTGTGTAAATGTGTGTGTGTGTAAATATGTGTGTGTGTGTATGTGTGTGTCTGTGTGTGTGTAAATGTGTGTATGTGTGTGTATGTGTGTGTGTGTAAATGTGTAAATCCGTGTTTGTGTAATTGCCGGCGTAACGTCGCTGCGCTCAGATTGTCGTGGCTTGGCTCTCCAACACACTACACTGTACTCTACACTGTACTCTACACTGTACACTACACTGTACTCTGCACTGTACTCTACACTGCACACCACACTGTACACTACATTATACACTACACTACACACTATACACTACACTGTACACTACACTGCACACTACACTGTACACTACACTGCACACTACACTGTACACTACACTGTACACAACACTGCACACAACACTGCACACTACACTGTACACTACACTGTACACTACACTGTACACTACACTATAGACTACTATACACTACACTATACACTACTATACACTACACTATACACTACTATACACTACACTATACACTACACTATACACTACACTATACACTACTATACACTACACTATACACTACACTATACACTACTATACACTACACTATACACTACACTACTACACTACACTATACATTACTATACACTACACTATACACTACACTATACACTACTATACACTACAGTATACACTACTAGAAACTACACTATACACTACTATAGACTACACTATACACTACAATATACACTACTATACACTACACTATACACTACTATACACTACACTATACACTACACTATACACTACACTATACACTACTATACACTACACTATACACTACACTATACACTACTATACACTACACTATACACTACACTACTACACTACACTATACACTACTATACACTACACTATACACTACACTATACACTACTATACACTACAGTATACACTACTAGAAACTACACTATACACTACTATAGACTACACTATACACTACAATATACACTACTATACACTACACTATACACTACTATACACTACACTATACACTACACTACTACACTACACTATACACTACTATACACTACACTATACACTACACTATACACTACACTATACACTACACTACTATACACTACTATACACTACACTATACACTACACTATACACTACACTATACACTACGCTTCACTATACACTACACTATACACTACACTATACACTACACTATACACTACACTACACTATACACTACACTATACACTACACTATACACTACACTCTACACTACTATACACCAGACTATACACTACACTATACACTACACTATACACTACACTATACACTACTATACACTACACTACACTATACACTACTATACACTACACTATACACTACACTATGCACCACACTATACGCTACACTATACACTACACACTACACTACACTATACACTACACACTACACTATACACTACACACTACACTATACACTACACTATACACTACACTACACACTACACTACACTACTACACTATACACTACTATACACTACACTATATACTACACTACACACTACACTACACTACTACACTACACTACTACACTATACACTACTATACACTACACTACACACTACACTATACACTACACTATACACTACACTATACACTACACTATACACTATACTATACACTACTATACACTACACTATACACTACACTATACACTACACTATACACTACACTATACACTACTATACACTACTATACACCACTATACACTACACTACTATACACTATACACTATACTATACACTACTACACTATACACTACTACACTACACTATACACTACTATACACTACACTATACACTACACTATACACTACACACTACACTATACACTACACTATACACTACACACTACACTATACACTACACTACACACTACACTATACACTACACTATACACTACACTATACACTACACACTACACTATACACTACACTACACTATACACTACACACTACACTATACACTACACTACACACTACACTATACACTATACACTACACACTACACACTGTACACTGTACACTATCTAGAAGTTTCTCCTCCCCCACCGCAGGAGCTCCGTCTCGCACAGCCGTGAGCGGTCTCTGTCGGCGGCTCACGACCGCTCACAGGAGCGGCAAGTCCTCCGGCAGATCTCGCACGAGGAGGAGGAGGAGCAGGAGGAGGAGGAGGAGGAGGAGGAGGTCGTGATGGTGGTGGTGGAGGAGGAGGGGGATAGGAGACGTCGCCATCGGCACGGAGGAGAGGGCGACGGGGTTGAGAGCAGCTCATCCAGCTCCGAGGAGGAGGATGAGGAGGATGATGAGGAGGAGGATGAGGAGGAGGATGAGGATGAGGAGGACAGCGAGTCGGACGGTCCGTTTGTTCGTTCGTTCCTAAAAAAGATAACGTGGACTCGCACACAGAGATCCATAGACTCACACAGAGACCCGTAGACTCGCACAGAGACCCGTAGACTCGCACAGAGACTCACACAGAGACTCGCACAGACACTCACACAGAGACTCACACAGAGACCCGTAGACTCACACAGAGAGCCATAGACTCACACAGAGACCCGTAGACTCACACAGAGACCCGTAGACTCGCACAGAGACCCGTAGACTCACACAGAGACCCGTAGACTCACACAGAGATCCATAGACTCGCACAGAGACTCACACAGAGACTCGCACAGACACTCACACAGAGACTCACACAGAGACCCGTAGACTCACACAGAGACCCGTAGACTCACACAGAGACCCGTAGACTCACACAGAGATCCGTAGACTCACACAGACACTCACACAGAGACCCGTAGACTCGGACACAGAGACCCGTGTGTGTCTGTGTGTGTTTTGTGTGTGTGTGTGCGTGTGTGTGTCTGTGTCTGTGTGTGTGTCTGTGTGTGCGTGTGTGTCTGTGTCTGTGTGTGTGTGTGTGTGCCCTACTTCCTCGTGGTGCCGGATAGGCAACTCTGTCGTGGACAGTGCTGTGGGGGGAGGTCCAATTTTGATTGGCTCCTCCCCTCATGGCATTTGTGTCCACCACAGGGGCTAAACGGGGGCTCTGGATGGGTGCGAGGGGCTGGTAACCCCTCCACCTTCAATTAATTACCACAAAACTACGACTTAAACTTAAATATGTAACAAATAAGCTTGTGCCGGAGGCCCCGGGGGGCCAGGCGTCTATGACGTCTCCTGGCCAAACCCCAATTGGCGGAGCCAGGAGATTGAATCTCTACCCTCGGGGCTCCTCCAGAAACAACGAAAAGCCACTACGGGTGGCCACGTGGAATGTTCGAACGCTCACTGCGGAGGAGAGGCTGCCACTCCTCTGTCGGGAGCTGGACCGGTACCGCCTGGATCTATGCGGCATTCAGGAGGTCCGGTGGACCGGCTCTGGCTCCTGCCACCATGAGGGGTGGACAATCCTCTACTCGGGGCAGCAGACTGCCAAACAACAGGGTGTGGCTCTTCTTTTGAACAAAAAAATGAAGGGGGCGTGGGAGCGTGGCGGTGAGGTGTGGGAAGCTGTAAGCCCCAGGCTACTTTGGGCTTGCCTTCCCATCAACCGGAGGCGAGGAATGGTAGTCATGGTTACTTATGCCCCCACCGAAGATGAACATCCGTGGAGGGATGCAGGCAAAGCCGATGAGTCAGATGCCTTCTATGACCTGTCACAGGTGCTGGCTAAAGTGGCCCCTCGGGATAGAGTCGTCTTGTTGGGTGACTTCAATGTCCGAGTTGGCCATGATGTTGGCACCTGGTCTTGAGTGATTGGAAGGCATGAGCCAGATCAGATCAATAACATCGGTAGGAGGCTGCTAGAATTTTGCGCAGCCCATGGGCTTGTAATTACCAAGACGCTGTTCCGGCATCGGCGCATCCACACAACATCATGGATGCATGCCCGGTCAAAGCAAGAACATCTGCTGGACTACATAGTGACGGACCAGTGGATGCAGGCCCATGTCCTTGACACCAGGACCTACCGTGGATCTGATCTGCCCTCTAGCCATCGACTAGTTATCTGCCATTCTTCCACTCCGGTGGTGGGTGTACACCCAGGACCCCATTCAAACCCACAGTGGCTTGGTCTCAGTTATCTGATGAAAGTTGCAAGCGAGAATTTCATCATCGCTTGCGGCTGGGATTGGCATCGTCCCCGATTCCTCCTGATGTCGAGGGTAAATGGGCGAGGTTTAGGACTGTGACTCATGCAGCTGCAATGGCTGCTTTGGGTACGCTGTCCAGACCTCCCCAGAGACCCTGGCTGACAGAGGAGGTTTTCATGATGGTTGAAAAAAGCGACAGACGCACTGTCATCGGCTACAGAATCCCACGTCAGAGAATGAGGAGGCTTACCGCAGCCTTCGCTCGGAGGTTCGGAGAGCCGTGAGGCGCTGCAAGGATGGGTGGTGGTCGCAGGTTGCTGAGGAGATGGAGTCTGCCTCAGTGGCCCGTGATCACAAATCTGTATTTAACTCCATCAAAAAAGTAACCTGCAGCGCCACACCTATTACCATCATTAGGGGAAAAAACGGTGATCCAATCTTTGACCCCCACGAACAGGTTTGCAGATTTGCTGAGCATTTCTGTGAGGTCCTGGGGGAGGGAAAATCCCTAAGCCAGGAAAATATCGTGGCACAAAGTGAGGATTACCCTGCTGAGGCTGCGGTGCCTCAAATATTGGATGAAGTCACCCCCTGTGAGTGGCTGGCTGAGGTGCCATCTGTTGAGGAAGTACTGAAGGCGATCCGGAGTCTGAGACCAGGAAAGGCAGCGGGCAGAGATGATCTCCCAAGCGAAATGCTGAGGGAGGGTGGCGTTTGTGCACAGACTGCCCTATATGACATCATAACAACGGTCTGGACCACTGGACGGGTTCCGCAGGATTGGAAGGATGCCCTGGTGGTCCCCCTTTTTAAGAAAGGGATCGCACAGACTGGAACAACTACAGGGGCATCTCACTCCTCAGTGTGCCGGGAAAGGTCCTGGCAAGGATTATTCAGCATCGCCTTGCTAGGCACGCTGAGGAGAGGCTTGCGGAGCCCCAAAGCGGTTTCAGGAAAGGGTGGTCCTGCACAGATGCCATATTTTCTGTCCGTCTGCTACAGCAGAGGTATAGGGAATTCCAACAAGACCTACATCTCTGCTTTATTGACCTGGTCAAGGCCTATGATACCATCAGTAGGCCTGGGATCTGGGTTGTTCTTCGTGCTTTTGGAGTACCTGACCCTCTGCTCACAATCATTAAGGACCTTCATGATGGTGAGCGGGCCCGGGTAAAACTACGTGGCCGAAAGTCAGAGCCATTCCCTGTACACCTTGGGGTGCGACAGGGATGTCCTCTGGCTCCCACATTATTTAACATCTATTTTGACCACGTAGTTCGTGAAGCCTTCAATAGCTGTACCGGGGGAATCTCCATATGGTACAGATATAATGGGAGGCTGATCGATGCCCGGGTGCGGTCAAGGGATGGCTCCCTATTGCTCAACCACGTTATGTATGCTGATGATTTGGTAATAGCTGCTCATTCAGAGGAGGAGTTGGAGACGCTGCTGCTGAGACTGGAGCGTGCCACTAAGATGTGGGGCCTTACCATCAGCCCCACCAAAACTAAGCACCTGCCTGGGTATTTTGTACCATCGGACACTCCACCCCCACAACTCCCAATCGGTGATGGGGCAGTTTTGGAGAGAGTGGAGAATTTCCCATACCTGGGCAGTGTGCTTATGACTGGCTCCAGTTTAACAGCAGAGGTCTCACTCCGAATCAGTCGAGCAGCAATATCTTTTCATCGGTTGCGTAATGCTGTGTGGAAGCTACCTGGTCTGTCGCTCCGCAATAAGCTTCAGGTCTTCTCGGCCACGGTCATTCCCTCCCTGCTCTACGCTTGCGAAACGTGGATCCCCCTAATGGAACATCTTCGCCGGTTAGAAACATTTAGGCTGGCCTGCCTATGATCCATCCTGTGTTTAACCAGACTGGATTTTGTGAGGAGCTCACAAATCCTTGAAAGATCTGGGCAAGGTCCCATCGGTGAGCTCCTCCGGCGGGGAAGGCTGCGATGGCTGGGTCATGTAGCCCGCATGCCCAGCCACCGCATGCCGAAACAGCTTTTGTTCGACAGATTGAGGGGGCTAAACGGGCGCGGCATGGGCTAGAGAAGAGATGGAGTGATGTGGTACCGGAGGACGTGGAGCTGAGTGGACTGGCCGATGACTGGTACCAGCGGTGTCAAGATCGGCCTCTGTGGAAGAGGCTCGTGAAGGATGCTACTGGGCAGTTGGAGGCAGTCGCCCTCCAACAACAACGGAGGGCGGAGGAGCGACGCTCACAACAACGAGCGGAGCGCCGGGTGGCTAAAGAACAGCAGGTTGGCACAGTAGGGGGCACAGGTGGTGCATCAGCCAGTCATCTCAGTCAGTCGACCCGTGGCACCTGGGTCTGCCCCGTGACCTACTGCCAGCGGGCGTTCGACACTTCACGTGGCCTCAGGGTGCACATAGCCTGGCACAAGCGTCCTGGTGACGTCACCGCCACTTAGTGGCGAATGGCGGTTGTTGTTGTGTCTGTGTGTGTATCTGCGTGTGTGACTGTGTGTATGTGTGACTGTGTGTGACTGTGTGTGACTGTGTGTGTGTATGTGTGTGTATGTATGTGTGTGTGACTGTGTGTGTGTGACTGTGTGTGCAGACAAGCGATGGGGCGACGACGCGGCCACGAAGGTGAGTACACTATACACTACACTATACACTACACTATACACTACTATACACTACACTATACACTACTATACACTACACTATACACTACTATACACTACACTATACACTACTATACACTACACTATACACTACACTATACACTACTATACACTACACTATACACTACTATACACTACACTATACACTACACTATACACTACACTATACACTACTATACACTACACTATACACTACACTATACACTACACTACACACTACACTATACACTACACTATACACTACTATACACTACACTATACACTACACTATACACTACACTATACACTACACTATACACTACACTATACACTACACTACACACTACACTACTACACTATACACTACTTCACTACACTATACACTACTACACTAGACACTATACACTACTACACTATACACTACACTACTACACTACACTATACACTACTACACTATACACTACACTATACACTACACTATACACTACACTATACACTACACTATACACTTCACTATACACTACTATACACTACACTATATACTACACTATACACTACACTAGACACTACTACACTATACACTACTACACTAGACACTGCTATACACTACACTACTACACTACACTATACACTACACTACTACACTATACACTACACTATACACTACACTATACACTACACTACTACAGTACACTATACACTACGCTATACACTACACTATACACTACACTATACACTACACTATACACTACTATACACTACACTATACACTACATTGTACACTACTATACACTACACTATACACTACTATACACTACACTATACACTACACTATACACTACACTATACACTACTACACTACACTACTACACTACACTACTACACTACACTATACACTACACTAGACACTACACTATACACTACTATACACTACACTACACACTACTAGGCACTACACTATACACTACACTATACACTACACTATACCCTACACTATACACTACTATACACTACACTATACACTACACTATACACTACACTAGACACTACACTATACACTACTATACACTACACTAGACATTACACTATACACTACTATACACTACACTATACACTACACTATACACTACTATACACTACACTATACACTACGCTATACATTACTATACACTACACTATACACTACACTATACACTACTACACTACACTATACACTACACTAGACACTACTATACACTACACTATACACTACTACACTATACACTACACTAGACACTACTATAGACTACACTAGACACTACTATACACTACTATACACTACACTAGACACTACAATACACTACTATACACTACACTGTACACTACACTAGACACTACACTATACACTACTATACACTACACTATAGACTACACTAGACACTACTATACACTACACTATACACTACTATACACTACACTATATACTACACTATACACTACAATATACACTACACTATACACTACACTATACACTACACTATACTACACTAGACACTACACTATACACTACACTAGACACTACACTATACACTACACTATACTACACTATACACTACACTAGACACTACACTATACACTACACTATACACTACTATACACTACACTATACACTACACTATACACTATATACTACACTAGACACTACTACACTACACTAGACACTACACTATACACTACTACACTACACTATACACTACTACACTACACTAGACACTACACTAGACACTACTATACACCACACTATACACTACACTAGACACTACACTATACACTACTACACTACACTCTACACTACACTAGACACTACACTAGACACTACACTATACACTACTACACTACACTATACACTACACTATACACTACTACACTACACTATACACTACACTATACACTACTACACTACTACACTACACTATACACTACACTATACACTACTACACTACACTAGACACTACTTTACTCTACACTATACACTACACTATACACTACACTAGACAATACACTATACACTACACTATACACTACTATACACTACACTATACACTACACTATACACTACTACACTACACTAGACACTACACTATACACTACTACACTACTACACTACACTATACACTACTACACTACACTATACACTACACTAGACACTACTATACACTACACTATACACTACACTAGACACTACACTATACACTACACTATACACTACTATACAGTACACTATACACTACACTAGACACTACTACACTAGACAACACTACACTATACACTACACTATACACTACACTATACACTACACTAGACACTACTACACTACACTAGACACTACACTATACACTACTACACTACTACACTACACTATACACTACTACACTACACTATACACTACACTAGACACTACTATACACTACACTATACACTACACTAGACACTACACTATACACTACACTATACACTACTATACAGTACACTATACACTACACTAGACACTACTACACTAGACAACACTACACTATACACTACACTATACACTACACTATACACTACACTAGACACTACTACACTACACTAGACACTACACTATACACTACTACACTACACTATACACTACTACACTACACTATACACTACACTAGACACTACTATACACTACACTATACACTACACTATACACTACACTAGACACTACACTATACACTACTACACTACTACACTATACACTACACTACTACACTACACTACTACACTACACTAGACACTAAACTATACACTACTACACTACACTATACACTACACTAGACACTACACTATACACTACACTATACACTACTACACTACACTATACACTACACTAGACACTACACTATACACTACACTATACACTACACTATACACTACTACACTACACTATACACTACACTATACACTATACACTACACTATACACTACTACACTATACACTGCACTACACACTACATTATACACTACACTATACACTACACTATACACTACACTATACACTACACTATACACTATACATTACACTATACACTACACTAGACACTACACTTTACACTACACTAGACACTACTACACTACACTATACACTATACTATACACTACACTAGACACTACTACACTACACTATACACAATACTATACACTACACACTACACTATACACTACACTATACACTACACTATACACTACTACACTACACTATACACTACTACACTATACACTACACTTTACACTACACTATACACTACACTATACACTACACTAGACACTACACTATACACTACACTATACACTACTACACTACACTATACACTACACTAGACACTAGTGCTGTTTTCTCTACACAACGCCCTTTCTGGTTGGCTGTGTAGCGTGCTGGATGCTTGGTTTAACTCCGCATCAACACTCGCAGATTCATGAGGTCTACAAAGCCCTTCCCAACAATTATTACCACTACAACAGTAACATAACCATTTTATTTTGTATTAAAATCTCTCCCCTCCCATCATTTATGATTACTATAGTAACTTAACAAATTTTTATTTTGTATTAAAATCTCTAGCCTCCCATCATTTACGATTACTATAGTAACTTAACCAATTTTTATTTTGTATTAAAATCTCTACCCTCCCATCATTTATGATTACTATAGTAACTTAACCAATTTTACTTTGTATTAAAATCTCTCCCCTCCCATCATTTATGATTACTCTAGTAACTTAACCAATTTTTATTTTGTATTAAAATGGAAATCTCTCCCCTCCCATAATTTATGATTACTCTAGTAACTTAACCAATTTTTATTTTGTATTAAAATATCTACCCTCCCATCATTTATGATTACTATAGTAACGTAACTAATTTTTATTTTGTATTAAAATCTCTACCCTCCCATCATTTATGATTACTATAGTAACTTAACCAATTTTTATTTTGTATTAAAATGAAAATCTCTCCCCTCCCATCATTTATGATTACTATAGTAACGTAACCAATTTTTATTTTGTATTAAATCGCTACCCTCCCATCATTTATGATTACTATAGTAACTTAACCAATTTTATTTTGTATTAAAATGAAAATCTCTCCCCTCCCATCATTTACGATTACTATAGTAACGTAACCAATTTTTATTTTGTGTTAAAATGAAAATCTCTCCCCTCCCATCATTTATGATTACTACAGTAACATAACCAATTTTATGTTTTGTTAAAATTTTAAATCTCTCCCCTCCCATCATTTATGATTACTATAGTAACTTAACAATTTTTATTTTGTATTAAAATGAAAATCTCTACTCTCCCATCATTTATGATTACTATAGTAACGTAACCAATTTTTATTTTGTATTAAGATGAAAATCTCTACCCTCCCATCATTTATGATTACTATAGTAACATAACCATTTTTATTTTGTATTAAAATGAAAATCTCTCCCCTCCCATCATTTATGATTACTATAGTAACTTAACAATTTTTTTTTTGTATTAAAATTAAAATCTCTCCCCTCCTATCATTTATGATTACTATAGTAACGTAACCAATTTTTATTTTGTATTAAAATCTCTACCCTCCCATCATTTATGATTACTATAGTAACTTAACCAATTTTTATTTTGTATTAAAATGAAAATCTCTACTCTCCCATCATTTATGATTACTATAGTAACTTAACCAATTTTATTTTGTATTAAAATCTCTCTCCTCCCATCATTTATGATTACTATAGTAACTTAACCAATTTTTATTTTGTATTAAAATGAAAATCTCTACCCTCCCATAATTTATGATTACTATAGTAACTTAACCAATTTTATTTTGTATTAAAATCTCTACCCTCCCATCATTTATGATTACTATAGTAACTTAACCAATTTTTATTTTGTATTAAGATGAAAATCTCGACCCTCCCATCATTTATGATTACTATAGTAACTTAACCAATTTTTATTTTGTATTAAAATCTCTACCCTCCCATCATTTATGATTACTATAGTAACTTAACAATTTTTACTTTGTTTATTTTGTATTAAAATAAAAATCTCTTCTCTCCCATCATTTATGATTACTATAGTAACATAACCAATTTTATTTTGTATTAAAATGAAAATCTCTACCCTCCCATCATTTATGATTACTATAGTAACATAACCAATTTTTATTTTGTATTAAAATGCAAATCTCTCCCCTCCCATCATTTATGATTACTATAGTAACTTAACCAATTTTATTTTGTATTAAAATCTCTACCCTCCCATCATTTATGATTACTATAGTGACTTAACCAATTTTTATTTTGTATTAAAATGAAAATCTCTACCCTCCCATCATTTATGATTACTACAGTAACATAACCAATTTTTATTTTGTATTAAAATCTCTACCCTCCCATCATTTATGATTACTATAGTAACTTAACCAATTTTTATTTTGTATTAAAATGAAAATCTCTACTCTCCCATCATTTATGATTACTATAGTAACGTAACCAATTTTTATTTTGTATTAAAATGAAAATCTCTCCCCTCCCATCATTTATGATTACTATAGTAACTTAACCAATTTTTATTTTGTATTAAAATGAAAATCTCTACCCTCCCATCATTCATGATTACTATAGTAACTTAACCAATTTTTATTTTGTATTAAAATCTCTACCCTCCCATCATTTATGATTACTACAGTAACATAACCAATTTTACGTTTTGTTAAAATTTTAAATCTCTCCCCTCCCATCATTTATGATTACTATAGTAACTTAACCAATTTTATTTTGTATTAAAATCTCTACTCTCCCATCATTCATGATTACTATAGTAACTTAACCAATTTTTATTTTGTATTAAAATAAAAAAATCTCCACCCTCCCATCATTTATGATTACTATAGTAACTTAACCAATTTTTATTTCGTATTAAAATAAAAAAATCTCTACCCTCCCATCATTGACGACTACTATAGCAACGTCACCAATTTTTTTTATTCAGCATTAAAATAAAAACCAATCTCTCCCCTCCCATCATTTATGATTACTTATAGTAACATAACCCATTTTATTTTGTATTAAAATAAAAAAAAATCTCCACCCTCCCATCATTTACAACTACTATAGCAACATCACCAATTTTTATTTTGTATTAAGATGAAAATCTCCACCCTCCCGTCATTTGCGATTACTATAGCAACTTAACCAATTTTACTTTGTATTAAGATGAAAATCTCTACCCTCCCATCATTTATGATTACTATAGTAACTTAACAATTTTTATTTTGTATTAAAATGAAAATCTCTACCCTCCCATCATTTATGATTACTATAGTAACTTAACCAATTTTTATTTTGTATTAAAATCTCTACCCTCCCATCATTTATGATTACTATAGTAACATAACCAATTTTTATTTTGTATTAAAATCTCTCCCCTCCCATCATTTATGATTACTCTAGTAACTTAACCAATTTTTATTTTGTATTAAAATGGAAATCTCTCCCCTCCCATCATTTATGATTACTCTAGTAACTTAACCAATTTTTATTTTGTATTAAAATCTCCACCCTCCCATCATTTATGATTACTACAGTAACTTAACCAATTTTATTTTGTATTAAAATCTCTACCCTCCCATCATTTATGATTACTATAGTAACTTAACCAATTTTTATTTTGTATTAAAATCGCTACCCTCCCATCATTTATGATTACTATAGTAACGTAACCAATTTTATTTTGTATTAAAATGAAAATCTCTACCCTCCCATCATTTATGATTACTATAGTAACATAACCAATTTTATTTTGTATTAAAATCTCTACTCTCCCATCATTCATGATTACTATAGTAACTTAACCAATTTTTATTTAGTATTAAAATAAAAAAAATCTCCACCCTCCCATCATTTATGATTACTATAGTAACTTAACCAATTTTTATTTCGTATTAAAATAAAAAAAATCTCTACCCTCCCATCATTTATGATTACTATAGTAACGTAACCAATTTTATTTTGTATTAAAATGAAAATCTCTACCCTCCCATCATTTATGATTACTACAGTAACATAACCAATTTTATGTTTTGTTAAAATTTTAAATCTCTCCCCTCCCATCCTTTATGATTACTATAGTAACTTAACAATTTTTATTTTGTATTAAAATGAAAATCTGTACCCTCCCATCATTTATGATTACTACAGTAACATAACCCATTTTATTTTGTATTAAAATAAAAAAAAATCTCCACCCTCCCATCATTTACAACTACTATAGCAACGTCACCCAATTTTTTGTTTTTCTTAACGTTTCATTTCTCACGCACGACAAATTCAATCTCCCGACCCTCGCCATCTCCGCCTTCCGCCCCGCTGCCCGTTGGGCGCGTGCCCAGCCGGCCCTCCTGGCCGGTCTGCCCGCCCAGGGCCTGCTGGAATACACGCCACACCGGGACCTCGCTCGCACCGTGCCGACGGTGCCGGGAGGCGGAGCGCCGGAGCAGCGAGGGCTCCGCAAGTCGTCCTCCACACGCTCGCTCGGCACCAGCGCGTGGCACGGCCCCGGGAGGGTGGGGCGCTCGCACGCACAGAGAGAGACACAGAGAGAGAGAGACACGCAGAGAGAGACACGCAGAGAGAGACACAGAGAGAGACACACAGAGACACACAGAGAGACACAGAGAGAGACACGCAGAGAGAGAGACACAGAGAGAGAGATAGAGAGAGAGACACGCAGAGAGAGAGACACACGCACGCAGAGAGAGACACGCAGAGAGAGACACAGAGAGAGAGACACGCAGAGAGAGACACGCAGAGAGAGACACACGCACGCAGAGAGAGACACGCAGAGAGAGAGACACGCAGAGAGAGACACAGAGAGAGACACAGAGAGAGAGAGATAGAGAGAGAGACGCAGAGAGAGACACAGAGAGAGACACGCAGAGAGAGAGACACGCAGAGACACACAGAGAGAGACACAGAGAGAGACACGCAGAGAGAGACACAGAGAGAGACGCAGAGAGAGAGAGACACGCAGAGAGAGACACGCAGAGAGAGACACACGCACGCAGAGAGAGACACGCACGCAGAGAGAGAGAGACACGCAGAGAGAGAGACACGCAGAGAGAGACACAGAGAGAGAGAGACACGCACAGAGAGAGAGACACGCAGAGAGAGAGACACAGAGACACACAGAGAGACAGAGACACAGAGAGAGACACAGAGAGAGACACAGAGAGAGAGATAGAGAGAGAGACGCAGAGAGAGACACACAGAGAGAGAGACACAGAGAGAGACACAGAGAGACAGAGAGAGAGACACACAGAGAGAGACACGCAGAGAGACACAGAGAGAGACACAGAGAGAGACACAGAGAGAGACACGCAGAGAGAGAGAGACACGCACAGAGAGAGACACGCAGAGAGAGAGATAGAGAGAGACACACAGAGAGAGACACAGAGAGAGAGACAGAGAGAGACACGCAGAGAGAGAGATAGAGAGAGAGACACAGAGAGAGAGACACGCAGAGAGAGACACAGAGAGAGACAGAGAGACACAGAGAGAGACAGAGAGACACAGAGAGAGACAGAGAGAGACACAGAGAGAGACACAGAGAGAGACACACAGAGAGAGAGACACGCAGAGAGAGACACGCGCAGAGAGAGACACAGAGAGAGACACAGAGAGAGAGACACGCGCAGAGAGACACAGAGAGAGACACGCAGAGAGAGACACAGAGAGAGAGACACAGAGAGAGACACGCAGAGACACAGAGAGACACAGAGAGACACAGAGAGACACAGAGAGAGACACAGAGAGAGACACAGAGAGAGAGACACGCAGAGGGAGACACGCGCAGAGAGAGACACACACGCAGAGAGAGACACGCAGAGAGAGACACAGAGAGAGAGACACGCAGAGAGAGAGACACGCAGAGACACACAGAGAGAGACACAGAGAGAGACACAGAGAGAGAGACACGCAGAGAGAGACACGCAGAGAGAGACACGCAGAGAGAGACACGCGCAGAGAGAGACACGCAGAGAGAGACACGCAGAGAGAGACACAGAGAGAGACACACGCAGAGAGAGAGACACGCGCAGAGAGAGACACGCAGAGAGAGACACGCAGAGAGAGACACGCAGAGAGAGACACGCAGAGAGAGGCACGCAGAGAGAGACACAGAGAGAGACACGCAGAGAGAGACACAGAGAGAGACACACAGAGAGAGACACACAGAGAGAGACACGCAGAGAGAGACACACAGAGAGAGACACACAGAGAGAGAGACACAGAGAGAGACACACAGATAGAGACACGCAGAGAGAGACACGCAGAGAGAGACACGCAGAGAGAGACACGCAGAGAGAGGCACGCAGAGAGAGACACAGAGAGAGACACGCAGAGAGAGACACAGAGAGAGACACACAGAGAGAGACACGCAGAGAGAGACACGCAGAGAGAGACACACAGAGAGAGACACACAGAGAGAGAGACACAGAGAGAGACACACAGAGAGAGACACGCAGAGAGAGAGAGACACGCAGAGACACAGAGAGAGAGACACAGAGAGAGAGATAGAGAGACACACAGAGACACAGAGAGAGAGACACAGAGAGAGACACACAGAGAGAGACACGCAGAGAGAGAGATAGAGAGTCACACAGAGACACAGAGAGAGACACAGAGAGACACGCAGAGAGACACAGAGACTCAACACACAGAGACACACGCAGAGAGAGAGACACGCAGAGAGAGACACAGAGAGACACAGAGAGACACGCAGAGAGAGACGCAGAGAGAGACACAGAGAGAGACACGCAGAGAGACACAGAGAGAGACACAGAGAGAGACACACGCAGAGAGAGACACGCAGAGAGAGACACAGAGACACACAGAGACACACAGAGACACACAGACTCAACACACAGAGAGACACACAGACACACACAGAGACACACAGAGACACGCAGAGACACAACACATAGAGACACACACAGAGACACACAGAGAGACACAGAGAGACACACAGAGTCACACAGAGAGAGACACACAGAGAGACACAGAGACACACACAGAGACACACAGACTCACACACAGAGACACACAGAGACACACACAGAGACGCACAGACTCACACACAGAGACACGCACACTCACACACAGAGACACGCAGAGACACACACAGGGAGACACGCAGAGAAACGCAAAGACACACAGACTCAACACAGAGAGACACACAGAGACACACACAGAGACACGCAGAGACACAGAGACACACACAGAGACACGCAGAGACACACAGACTCAACACACAGAGAGACACACAGAGACACACAGAGAGACACAGAGAGACACAGAGAGAGACACGCAGAGACACACACAGACTCATCACATAGAGACACACAGACACACACAGACTCACCACACAGAGACCCACAGACTCACCACATAGAGACCCACAGACTCACCACACAGAGACTCACAGACTCACCACACAGAGACCCACAGACTCACCACACAGAGACACACAGACTCACCACACAGAGACACAGACTCACCACACAGAGACCCACAGACTCATCACACAGAGACACCCACAGACTCACCACACAGAGACCCACATACTCACCACACAGAGACCCACAGACTCACCACATAGAGACCCACAGACTCACCACACAGAGACCCACAGACTCACCACACAGAGACACCCACAGACTCACCAGACAGAGACCCACAGACTCACCACACAGAGACCCACAGACTCACCACACAGAGACCCACAGACTCATCACACAGAGACACCCACAGACTCACCACACAGAGACCCACAGACTCACCACACAGACACCCACAGACTCACTCATACAGACTCACCACAGACTCACCACACAGACTCACCACAGACTCACCACAGACTCACCACACAGACACCCACAGACTCACCACAGACTCACCACACACACTCACCACACAGACTCACCACACAGACTCACCACACAGACTCACCACAGACTCACCACACAGACTCACCACACAGACTCACCACACAGACTCACCACACAGACTCACCACAGACTCACCACAGACTCACCACACAGACTCACCACAGACTCACCACACAGACTCACCACAGACTCACCACAGACTCACCACAGACTCACCACACAGACTCACCACACAGACTCACCACACAGACTCATCACACAGAGACACCCACAGACTCACCACACAGAGACCCACAGACTCATCACACAGAGACACCCACAGACTCACCACACAGAGACCCACAGACTCACCACACAGAGACCCACAGACTCACCACACAGAGACCCACACACTCACCACACAGAGACCCACAGACTAACCACACAGAGACCCACAGACTCACCACACAGAGACCCATAGATTCACCACACAGAGACCCAAAGACTCATCACACAGAGAGCCACAGACTCACCACACAGAGACCCACAGACTCACCACACAGAGACCCACAGACTCATCACACAGAGACACCCACAGACTCACCACACAGAGACCCACAGACTCACCACAGACTCACCACACAGAGACCCACAGACTCACCACACAGAGACACACAGACTCACCACACAGAGACCCACAGACTCACCACACAGAGACCCACAGACTCACCACATAGAGACCCACAGACTCACCACACAGAGACCCACAGACTCACCACACAGAGACCCACAGACTCACCAGACAGAGACCCACAGACTCACCACACAGAGACCCACAGACTCACCACACAGAGACACACAGACTCACCACACAGAGACCCACAGACTCACCACACAGAGACCCACAGACTCATCACACAGAAACACCCACAGACTCACCACACAGAGACCCACATACTCACCACACAGAGACCCACAGACTCACCACACAGAGATCCACAGACTCACCACAAAGAGACCCACAGACTCACCACACAGAGACACCCACAGACTCACCACACAGAGACCCACAGACTCACCACACAGAGACACACAGACTCACCACACAGAGACCCACAGACTCACCACACAGAGACCCACAGACTCATCACACAGAGACACCCACAGACTCACCACACAAAGACCCACAGACTCACCACACAGACACCCACAGACTCACTCACACAGACTCACCACAGACTCACCACAGAGACTCACCACAGACTCACCACACACACTCACCACACAGACTCACCACACAGACTCACCACAGACTCACCACAGACTCACCACACAGACTCACCACAGACTCACCACACAGACTCACCACAGACTCACCACACACTCACCACACAGACACCCACAGACTCACCACAGAATCACCACACAGACTCACCACACAGACTCACCACACAGAGACCCACAGACTCACCACAGAATCACCACACAGACTCACCACACAGACTCACCACACAGAGACCCACAGACTCACCACACACAGAGACCCACAGACTCACCACACACAGAGACCCACAGACTCGCCATACAGACTCACGACAGAGTCACCACAGACTCACCACAGCCTCACCACACAGAGACCCACAGACTCACCACACAGAGACCCACAGACTCACCACACAGAGACCCACAGACTCACCACACAGAGACCCACAGCCTCACCACACAGAGAGACCCACAGACTCACCACACAGAGACCCACAGACTCACCACACAGAGACCCACAGACTCACCACACAGAGAGACCCACAGACTCACCACACAAAGACCCACAGACTCACCACACAGACACCCACAGACTCACTCACACAGACTCACCACAGACTCACCACAGAGACTCACCACAGACTCACCACAGACTCACCACACAAACACCCACAGACTCACCACAGACTCACCACACACACTCACCACACAGACTCACCACACAGACTCACCACAGACTCACCACAGACTCACCACACAGACCCACCACAGACTCACCACACAGACTCACCACAGACTCACCACACACTCACCACACAGACACCCACAGACTCACCACAGAATCACCACACAGACTCACCACACAGACTCACCACACAGAGACCCACAGACTCACCACACACAGAGACCCACAGACTCACCACACAGAGACCCACAGACTCGCCATACAGACTCACCACAGACTCACCACACAGAGACCCACAGACTCACCACACAGAGACCCACAGACTCACCACACAGAGACCCACAGACTCACCACACAGAGACCCACAGACTCACCACACAGAGATACCCACAGACTCACCACACAGAGACTCACAGACTCACCACACACACACACTCACCACCACACACACTCACCACACACACACACACACTCACCACACACACCACACACACACACACTCACCACACACTCACCACAGCCTCACCACACACACTCACCACCACACACATACACTCACCACACACACTCACCACAGCCTCACCACCACACACACACACTCACCACAGCCTCACCACCACACACACACACTCACCACACACTCACAACACACACTCACCACCACACACACACACTCACCACACACTCACAACACACACTCACCACCACACACACACACCACACACTCACAACACACTCACCACACACACTCACCACACACACTCACCACACACACACACACTCACCACACACACACACACTCACCACACACTCACCACACACTCACCACACACACTCACCACACACACACACTCACCACAGCCTCACCACACACTCACCACACACACTCACCACACACTCACCACCACACACACACACTCACCACCCACCACACACACACACACACTCACCACAGCCCCACCACACACACACTCACCACACACACTCACCACCACACACACACACTCACCACAGCCTCACCACACACTCACCACCACACACACACACTCACCACACACACACACACTCACCACAGCCTCACCACCACACACACTCACCACCACACACACACACACACTCACCACCACACAGAGACCCACACACTCCCCACACACACTCACCACACACACTCACCACACACACACACACTCACCACACACACACTCACCACACACTCACCACCACACTGTGTGTGTATGTGGTGAGTGTGTGGTGTGTGTGAGTGTGTGGTGAGTGTGTGTGTGTGGTGAGTGTGTGTGGTGTGTGGTGTGTGTGTGTGGTGAGTGTGTGGTGTGTGTGGTGTGTGTGTGGTGTGTGTGTGGTGTGTGTGTGGTGTGTGTGTGGTGAGTGTGTGGTGTGTGTGTGTGTGGTGTGTGTGTGTGGTGAGTGTGTGGTGAGTGAGTGTGTGTGTGTGTGTGGTGTGTGTGTGTGGTGTGTGTGTGTGTGGTGAGTGTGTGTGGTGAGTGTGTGGTGGTGAGTGTGTGTGGTGAGTGAGTGAGTGTGTGGTGAGTGTGTGGTGAGTCTGTGTGAGTGTGTGTGTGTGTGTGTGGTGAGTGTGTGTGTGTGGTGAGTGAGTGTGTGTGTGGTGTGTGTGTGGTGAGTGTGTGTGTGGTGAGTGTGTGTGTGTGTGGTGGTGAGTGTGTGGTGTGTGTGGTGTGTGTGTGGTGAGTGTGTGGTGAGTGTGTGGTGAGTGTGTGTGTGTGGTGAGTGTGTGTGTGGTGAGTGTGTGGTGAGTGTGTGGTGTGTGTGTGGTGAGTGAGTGTGTGTGTGTGGTGAGTGTGTGTGTGTGGTGAGTGTGTGTGGTGAGTGTGTGTGTGGTGAGTGTGTGGTGAGTGTGTGGTGTGTGTGTGTGTGTGTGTTGATGCCTGACCCTCTCTCTGTGCGTGCTCCGCTCCGGCGTTTAGGCGACCGAGTCTGCGTGCGACACGCGCCTCTACCGCCTCAGCCGCCCCAGCCCCTCCGCGTCACCGCCCATGCCAGCCTCCAGCCACGTGCACTCGGACGTCGAGGCGGTGGAGAGCCGGTGAGCGAGGGCGTGCACCTAGCCTGGCACCGCTGATTCTGATTCTGATGATTCTGGGCCAACACTGTCTTTAACATTTGATCTACAGAACGACACCTTAGCGATATTAACTATGGTGTACCCTATATTCTTAGTTTTTTCGGTAAAGTCACGTTGAAGAGAAACAACAAAATAACAAAATATATATAAAACAATAAAAAATTCTCACGACGTTTCGACCATAACTCAAACGGTCATCATCATCATTTTTTATTGTTTTATATATATTTTGTTATTTTGTTGTTTCTCTTCAACGTGACTTTACCGAAAAAACTAAGAATATGAATTACTGCAGTCACGAAAGCTTTAAATCAAAATTTATGGTGTACCCTGTTTGTTTTTATTTTTATTTTCAAATTATATCTTAAAGCTATTTTATATATTCGATATTTATTTAATTTTATATACTTCAGCCCCTTGGTGTTAGTTAGACTTTTAACCCTTATTATTATAGTAAGACTTTTGATTTAAAGCTTTCGTGACTGCAGTAATTCATATTCTTAGTTTTTTCGGTAAAGTCACGTTGAAGAGAAACAACAAAATAACAAAATATATGATGACCGTTTGAGTTATGGTCGAAACGTCGTGAGAATTTTTTATTGTTTTATATATATTTTGTTATTTTGTTGTTTCTCTTCAACGTGACTTTACCGAAAAAACTAAGAATATAGTAAGACTTGTTTAAAACTTATTTGAGATTTTAGATTCCTATATGTTGAATGTATGCACCATCCTGCCAAAGTAAATGCCGTGTCGGTGTGAACTTACATGGCGAATAAAAAAACCCTTTCTGATTCTGATGATGATGATGGTGATGATGGTGATGATGATTCCGACGATGACGATGATTCCGACGATGATGATGATTCCGACGATGATGATGATTCCGACGATGACGATGACGCTGACAACGATGCCGATACCTCCCACAGGGACCTGCTCGCTGCTGCTGCTGCTGCTCCAGCGTTGTCTCGGAGCAGTTCCTACAGCCTGCACGGCCCTGCCCAGCAGCACCATCATCAGCATCATCATCATCATCAGCAGCATCAGCATCAGCAGCCCTCCCCCACGGGCCCACGGCCGTGGACACCGCAGGGCGGGGAGGGAGCGGGAGAAGCGTATCTCAGCACCACCACCACCACCACCACCGCCACCACCACCACCACCACCACCGCCATCACCTACCAGCGCAGGTGAGCTCAGCGGCAACGTCGTCATCGTCAGCAGCAGCAGCAGCAGCGGAAGAAGCATCATCATCATCATCTGCATCACCATCATCAGCATCACCATCATCAGCATCACCATCATCAGCAGCATGATAATCACAAGCAGCAGCGGAAGCAGCGGAAGCATCATCATCATCATCACCATCATCAGCATCATCATCATCAGCATCATCATCATCTGCATCACCATCACCATCATCAGCATCACCATCATCTGCATCACCATCATCATCATCACCATCATCTGCATCACCATCATCAGCATCACCATCATCAGCATCACCATCATCTGCATCACCATCATCAGCATCACCATCATCAGCATCACCATCATCAGCATCACCATCATCAGCATCATCATCATCTGCATCACCATCATCTGCATCACCATCATCTGCATCACCATCATCAGCATCACCATCATCAGCATCACCATCATCTGCATCACCATCATCAGCATCACCATCATCTGCATCATCATCATCAGCATCACCATCATCAGCATCACCATCATCAGCATCATCATCATCAGCATCACCATCATCTGCATCATCATCATCAGCATCACCATCATCTGCATCATCATCATCAGCATCACCATCATCAGCATCACCATCATCAGCATCACCATCATCAGCATCACCATCATCAGCATCATCATCATCAGCATCACCATCATCAGCATCACCATCATCAGCATCACCATCATCAGCATCACCATCATCAGCATCATCATCATCAGCATCACCATCATCAGCATCATCACCATCATCAGCATCACCATCATCTGCATCACCATCATCAGCATCACCATCATCAGCATCATCATCATCAGCATCACCATCATCAGCATCATCATCATCTGCATCACCATCATCTGCATCATCATCATCTGCATCACCATCATCAGCATCATCATCATCAGCATCATGATAATCACAAGCAGCAGCAGCAGCAGCGAACAGCAAAGATCAACCGCTTGAGCATGTTGCTTAGCATGTTGCTTAGCATGTTGCTTAGCATGTTGCTTAGCATGTTGCTGAGCATGTTGCTGAGCGTGGCTACGCTCCGTGTGTTGTGTCACCGTCATTGCGCTTGCTAACGGCATCATTGTGTTCCCCGTGTCCCATTCCCTGCTTACACACGCACGCATACACACACACATACACACACACACATACACACACATACACACACATTCATACACACTCATACACCTACACACACACATACACACATACACACCTACACACACACATACACACATACACACACGCACGCATACACACACATACATACACCTACACACACATACACACACATACATACACACACGCACGCACACACACATACACACATACACACACATACATACACACACATACACACACATACACACACACACATACACACACATACACACACCTAAACACACCTACACACACACATACATACACACATACACCTACACACACACATACACATTCATACACACATACATATATACATACACACATACACACATACACACACATACACACACTCATACACACTCATACACACATACATACACACACACATACACCTACACACATACATACACACACACATACACACACATACATACAAACACATACATATACATACACACACATACACACACATACATACACATACACACACACATACACACACATACATACACACTCATATACACATACACACACATACACACACATACATACACATACACACACATACACCTACACACACACATACACACTCATACACCTACACACACATACACACATACACACACATACACACACATACACACACATACACCACACACACATACACACACATACACACACATACACCTACACACATACACACACACACATACATATACACATACATACACACACATACATACACACACACATACACACATACAAACACATACACACACACATACACACACATACACCACACACACATACACACACATACACACACATACACCTACACACATACACACACATACACACACATACATATACACATACATACACACACATACATACACACATACACACACATACACACACCTACACACACATACACACTCATACACACTCATACACACACACATACACACTCATACACACACATACACATACATACACATACACACGCATACACACACACATTCTTACACACTCATACACATACACACACATACACACACACACATTCTTACACACTCATACACATACACACACCACACACACCACACATACATGCGCCTGTGCTGCTCATGACCCTGCCGCTGCCTGCCACCTCCTACTCACCCCCCCACCTCACCCCCCCACCACCTCCTACTCACCCCCCCACCACCTACTCACCCCCCCACCACCTACTCACCCCCCCCCACCACCTACTCACCCCCCCACCTCACCCCCCCACCACCTCCTACTCACCCCCCACCTCACCCCCCACCACCTCACCCCCCCACCACCTCCTCACTCCCCCCACCTCACCCCCCCCACCTCCTACTCACCCCCCCACCTCACCCCCCCACCTCCTACTCACCCCCCACCTCACCCCCCACCACCTCACCCCCCCACCACCTCCTCACTCCCCCCACCTCACCCCCCCCCACCTCCTACTCACCCCCCCACCTCACCCCCCCACCTCCTACTCACCCCCCCACCTCACCCCCCCACCTCCTACTCACCCCCCACCTCACCCCCCACCACCTCACCCCCCCACCACCTCCTCACTCCCCCCACCTCACCCCCCCCACCTCCTACTCACCCCCCACCTCACCCCCCCACCTCCTACTCACCCCCCCACCTCCTACTCACCCCCCCCACCACCTACTCACCCCCCCCACCACCTACTCACCCCCCCACCACCTACTCACCCCCCACCTCACCCCCCACCACCTCCTACTCACCCCCCCACCTCCTACTCACCCCCCCACCACCTACTCACCCCCCCCCACCACCTACTCACCCCCCCACCACCTACTCACCCCCCCACCACCTACTCACCCCCCCACCTCACCCCCCCACCACCTCCTACTCACCCCCCACCTCACCCCCCACCACCTCACCCCCCCACCACCTCCTCACTCCCCCCACCTCACCCCCCCCCACCTCCTACTCACCCCCCCACCTCACCCCCCCACCTCCTACTCACCCCCCACCTCACCCCCCACCACCTCACCCCCCCACCACCTCCTTACTCCCCCCACCTCACCCCCCCCCACCTCCTACTCACCCCCCCACCTCACCCCCCACCTCCTACTCACCCCCCCACCTCCTACTCACCCCCCCCACCACCTACTCACCCCCCCCCCACCACCTACTCACCCCCCCACCACCTACTCACCCCCCCCACCTCACCCCCCCCACCACCTCCTACTCACCCCCCCACCTCCTACTCACCCCCCCACCACCTCACCCCCCCACCACCTCCTCACTCCCCCACCTCACCCCCCCCCACCTCCTACTCACCCCCCCACCTCACCCCCCACCTCCTACTCACCCCCCCACCTCCTACTCACCCCCCCCACCACCTACTCACCCCCCCACCACCTACTCACCCCCCCACCACCTACTCACCCCCCACCACCTACTCACCCCCCCACCACCTACTCACCCCCCACCACCTACTCCACCCCCCCACCTCCTACTCACCCCCCCACCTCACCCCCCCACCTCACCCCCCACCACCTACTCACCCCCCCACCACCTACTCACCCCCCACCTCCTACTCACCCCCCCACCTCCTACTCACCCCCCCACCACCTACTCACCCCCCACCACCTACTCACCCCCCCACCACCTACTCACCCCCCCACCACCTACTCACCCCCCCCCACCTCCTACTCACCCCCCCACCACCTACTCACCCCCCCACCTCCTACTCACCCCCCCACCACTTACTCACCCCCCCCCCACCACCTACTCACCCCCCCAACCTCCTACTCACCCCCCACCACCTACTCACCCCCCACCACCTACTCACCCTCCCCCCACCACCTACTCACCCCCCCACCACCTACTCACCCCCCCACCACCTACTCACCCCCCCACCTCACCTCCCACCACCTACTCACCCCCCCACCACCTTCTCACCCCCCCACCACCTTCTCACCCCCCCACCACCTACTCACCCCCCCACCACCTACTCACCCCCCCCACCACCTTCTCACCCCCCCACCACCTACTCACCCCCCCCCCCACCTACTCACCCCCCCACCACCTACTCACCCCCCCACCACCTACTCACCCCCCCCACCACCTACTCACCCCCCACCTCCTACTCACCCTCCCCCCACCACCTACTCACCATCCCACCACCTACTCACCCCCCCACCACCTACTCACCCCCCCCACCACCTACTCACCCCCCCACCACCTACTCACCCCCCCACCACCTACTCACCCCCCCACCTACTCACCCCCCCACCTCCTACTCACCCCCCCACCACCTACTCACCCCCCACCACCTACTCACCCCCCCACCACCTACTCACCCCCCCACCACCTACTCACCCCCCCACCTCCTACTCACCCCCCCACCACCTACTCACCCCCCCACCACCTACTCACCCCCCCACTACCTACTCACCCCCCCACCACCTACTCACCCCCCCCACCACCTTCTCACCCCCCCACCACCTACTCACCCCCCCACCTCCTACTCACCCCCCCCACCTCACCCCCCACCACCTTCTCACCCCCCCACCACCTACTCACCCCCCCACCTCCTACTCACCCCCCCACCTCCTACTCACCCCCCCACCACCTACTCACCCCCCCACCTCACCTCCCACCACCTACTCACCCCCCCACCACCTTCTCACCCCCCCACCACCTTCTCACCCCCCCACCACCTACTCACCCCCCCACCACCTACTCACCCCCCCACCACCTTCTCACCCCCCCACCACC